GACTGAAAGCGTGTGAAGCATTGGGAAAGTTGGGTGTAAAAGCAGCAACCAATGAGGTGACCGCTGCTTTGATCAATGCAATGCGCGATGATAGTTCTGGTGTCCGACAGACAGCGTGTGAAGCATTGGGAAATTTTGGTCAAGCCGCAGCAACCAATGAGGTGATCGCTGCTTTGATCAATGCAATGTGCGAAGAGAGTTCTGGTGTCCGACAGACAGCGTGTGAAGCATTGGGAAAGCTGGGTGAAAAAGCAGCAACCAATGAGGTGATCGCTGCTTTTATCAATGCAACACGCGATAAAGAGTACATGATCCGACAGACAGCGTGTGAAGCATTGGGAAATTTCGGTGAAAAAGCAGCAACCAATGAGGTGATCGATTCTCTGGTGAATTTTATTGGTACTATAGATGATTCGGACGATATACTCGTTGATGCTTTGGTGCGGGCGATGTGTTCGTATGACGGGATGAGGTCACTGAACCTTGGAACAATTGGAAAACTGTGTAATTGGATTCGAAAATCATCGGAGATCGACTTGACACCAATTCCTTCGGAACGTCTGATGGAGCTGTTTTTGAATAGTCGTAATTTTAGTTGGCTGAGCCTAGTTGCATATGTTGCTTTGTTGCAAGGAATCGCAGTTACAGTTTGTAAAGGTGTCGTGAAGATTTATGATACGAAGGGGGTGGTAGAGTTGGAGATGCCTAATCCTGAGTTGGGGATAACTTTTACGGAGGCGTTTAGCGATCAAAGGAGAGAAATCGAAAGTGACTTCCCATTTGGAAAAGAAACTGCTAGTTGAATAGTGCGCGTAGCGGAAATAGACTAGATGCTTTGGTATTATCATCAAATTTTATTGTTTGAATTATATTTGTTTGTACGTTCGATTGCAATTGTAGTCTATTACTTGGTGTCCTTTTTGATAAACTTTTCTTTTTTGGTACTCGACTAATAAATAAGAAGTGTGTGAAGAAGTTTATGATTGAAAAATTATGGTACCTAGTTTATAATGTATAACAGTAGAAATGATACTATGTGAAATTTTTTCCTCAGTGTACTTACGATAGCAGTACGAATCAGTGTTCTAAATCTTCTATGATATGGTGTAATAATTGAGCTGCAGATGTGTGACGTTATCAAATTACAATAGAACCTCTCTATCGTAGACACTCTAGGAACCAATGAAAAATATCCGTTTTAGATAGTTTTTAAAAACATTTTCCAACAAGTTTCTGATATTGGTGTGGATGTACTTTTAAATGACTTCGTTGATATCATGATGTGCATAGAAAGTGCAGAGAACATTTTTCTTGAATATTTATTTTAAAATTTACGTCTGTGAAAACAGCTAAAAGAACTTCTCTTCATATCATGAATGATTGCGCTAAATTTATAGCATAAATGATTAAAACCTGTTTCAATGTCATGCATGCTTTTTGAAAAAAACCATTTTACAACTTCATTAGGCAATTTTACACGAAATAATCTCGCTCCAGATTTATCAAATCTCATCGTGAACAGTATAAAGTTCAGGCTATTCTTTAGAAAAGTCTATGAATTTTCAACACAGACATTAAACACAACCAAACGTCGGAACGAAAATATTCGGTAAGAACTAGATTGGCTGTATAGATTATGGATGTTCAGTAATCAGCGACCAGTTTTTAGGACTGATCTTGGGTGCGGATGTGGGTGTAAATGAATTGGATAGGGGAAGAGTGTAGTGCAACCCACACCCACACCCACACCCTGAATGTAGACAAAAAAGGACGAGGACGCATTAGAACGGAAATTGGCCCATCGTTAGATTCTCAACAAAAAAAAGTATACCACTCGATGCAGAATTTTAGGACGAATCTTTTGGTAATAAATTGAACGACTTTGAAAATAATTTAATGGCTTTCGGTAATCATTATTAGGCTACCTATTCCACATATTTTCTACTCACTATTCTGATAATTGTTTACTCAAAAGTAGTTATTCACTAGCATCAAATAGGCTCATTTGAAAGAGTGAAAAATTCTGCACAAAAAACACCTTCAAGAACCATGCATGATATAGATATCATTTCCTATAACTTCTTTCCAAAGCAGTATCATTATCAAGTATTTCAGGCAGACCGTGAACTTGTAGCATTCTTAGGTCGCATAAAAATGTATTGATGGTCAACTTTGGTTCTTTTCATCTGATAGAGCTTTTCAAGTTCTACAACCTGGTATATTTTTTGTTATAAAAATTATAATCTTCCTAATCTAGACGTAAACTGATAGAGGTCTAAAACGATTTTCTTTTCGACATTGTATAATTAAAAATAAAATTAGACTAAAGATTATTAAAAGGAGAACAAAACCGATTCCAATGAAAAATGAAAACCAAGAAAAAGATTGATTTTTGTTAGACTTGAATAACTCTGTTGTTTGTTCATCGATATAATCTTCCTATGGTTCAAAAGTTTCGGTTCTTTCATCCTCATTTGTTTGATTAATAAGAAAATTTATCATTTGATTATCACTTGAATGTGATAAATAGATCAACTGATGTAAATATTTAGTGAAAATAATCTTATCCTCAATTGTTTCATTATGAGTATAATTCGGTTGACTCTCTTCAATAAATAATGGATCGGCTTGTTTAAAATATTCTCGAAGTATTTGACAATCACTAAGATGACACAATTTTGAAGATGTTGGAAAGTTAAAAGTTTTTTCGATATTTGAATTTAATTGAATATGATTGATTAATAAAAAGTCGAGGACAATCGCATTCAGTTAAATTTTCTAGTTGAGGAAAAATAATATTTAAATCATGATGATAATTATCATAACGATATTTAATAAGATGACAACGAGAATCTGATTTCATTTGTGATATACTGATATCAGATAATTCTAAATAATGTAATCGTCGAGATAATAAAACAAATATTTTAGGATCGATTGAACGAAGACTTGAACCTAATTTTAAATTATAAATATGACGAGCAGCAATAAGTTTTTCTTTCATTTAAATCTTCAAAATCAATTGTTAATGAATCTAATGTTGGAATTAATTGATCTTGACGGTGTGGGTGTGGGTGTGGGTGTGACTAGGCTGTGCCAAAATCTTTATAACACCCAAACCCTCAAGAAAATGAATAGTTCTCAAGGTCTGAGAGACGTGTTAACAACAAAAAATGTGTAGGCTCTATATTTGAAAAGTGAAAAATTCAGAAGGCAAGTCCTAATTGTCAGCAAGAAAAGCTGATTTTGCCGTCCATTAAGACTTTTTACTATCTTTTCGAACTCAAGATCCCTTCATATTGTGATAAACGACGAGAAAAGTGTCATGAATGTAAGGCATTGTTGACATAATAAAGTTTCTCCACTGTTGGCGGTAGCTAAAAACAACTGCCAACATACTAATTCAAATGTTGAGATGCCCAAAGTATGAACTTTTCCTGTATTTGAATGGTGCTGCTGAACTTAAGTTTTCAGCTTCAAAAACCTTCAGGTTCACACAAATGCTCAAAACGTATGAGATCTTTTCACATATCAGAGAAAAGAGTGAAATTCATCAAAATTAAATATAATCTATGCAACACCGGTATAATTCACAAAATTCAGAAGTCGACATAAAATGTGAATTTATATGGTAGCTTAAAATTGTCAAGTGTTCACAGATGTAGACCAGAGAAAAATTCTCTGCTAAGTTCGAAAAAAATGAACAAATCTTTTAAAAAAAGGTCTAGTCACAAGGAATGAAAGCAAAGCGAAATGGAAACAAATTTGTTTTCCCCCACCTCGTTGTACTGCCCAGGTGACTTCCACATAGGTGGAAATATTTGATAGTACTTTTTGTCAGGAAAAATCAAAATCTCTTGTTTTTTAATTCTTTTTATCAGCACTTGTTGAAATAGTGACAAGATTGGAAACTATTAAAATATTGGTCAAATGAAAATATCAAGTTCGATTCTATTTTGAAACTGTAAAAATCATCTCTAAATCATAATAATGCTGATTTTAAATGATTATTAACTGAGTTAAATTAGTTGCTACTCCCTTGAATAATGTGAACGTGCATGAGCTCAAAAACTTATCCCTGATTGAGCAAAGGTGTATCAACTAGAGTGAGATTGCTACCACAGGTATACAATTCGAAGATTTGAATTTGATTGACACCTTTAACAAGTAATTGAGCCGGTATGTAGAGTGTCCGTTGTGGACCAACATTCCAGTAACGGCCCAAATTGAAACCATTGCAAAATGCTACACCTTTCGACCAATTGAAATCCAAATTTAGGTAAGTATCGCCGATCAATTGTTGATTGTCGATTGGAAATGTAGCAAAAAAGAGACGAGGACCATCGTGAAGAATATTCTTCGCATCAGGCGTAGTCTGCATTGATTTCCAACCGTTTATATTCGATGTACCTTGGCGAAATTCCAAAACATGTACGATCCACTCTTTAATTTCGATCTTACCATCAATTAGAACTTTATCAAGAAAACCCTTTCGACTGTGATCGAGCATCGGACCAAAATTAATACGACCCATATTTTCGATTAGAATTGACAAGTTTTCAGCTTTGGCCGGTAGATCGAATTGAAATTGATTGATGCTTGGCAAAGATTGAAATATCGCTTACTCATTGGCAAGAACGACAGCATTGTCGGCCACAGCTGTAACATTCACTTGACATGCTAGGCCTTTGGTTAGCGACAGAATATCCTTTACCGTATAAAGAATAAACCATTGCGAGGCACTGGATTTATTATTGACCGATAGTTGTTCCATACTTTTCGGGCCGTTAGTCCGTTTCGTAGTGACTGTTAGCAAGTCATCGGCAAGAATCTGTTCGAACGTTTTATAACCACTTATTTGAATAGTACGATAGCTGGTTGTTGTTGATGAGGGTGGAATCGTAGGTAAACTGTGTCCATATTTATGAGAGCGATCATTATTTAAGACATAGAGTTCCGGATGTTTTGAATAGAATTTTTCAAGGACACGTCGAATCGCATAATATTTTGGTGTTGGATCGCCAGCTTCGTTTAACGGTGCATCGTAATCGTATGATGTCACAAGTGGCTTGTACTGTCGGAATGGAAAATGATGTGCACCGGATGTAAAACCCGAAGTTCATTCCACCGAAAAACATATAGAAATTAATGGAAATTTCCTCTTCCGATAGTAGAAGAATTCCTTCGAGATCGGCTTCGAATGCTTTTGTGTCGTATGGCGTTCTGGAGCCGGTCTGATGCTTTCCTGCCCAATAATCTAACCAACCGGTCCAATATTCAGTTCTCATTATATGATGTTTCGGCCGGAAAAGCCGTAAATATTCGATATTTTCTGTTGCTTTCCTTTGAAAATTGACTGTTGCCCAAACATCATCTAGACTGCCAGCAGACAAATATTTCGGTCCTCCGATGTCAGCAGAATTTCATTGAGACCATATTTTATGTACATCTCATGAAGCGCTTCGAGATAGTTCGCGTCGTTACCGTAACTACCGTATTCATTTTCAATTTGAAATGCAATAATTGATCCTGCTCCATGTCGGTTGTATTGATATTCGGCAAGGATCGGTAACAGCCGCGAGTAATAGTTTTGTAGGGCTTCAAGAAATCCCGGATGAATACTGCGGACACGCATAGTTTCATCGCGTAGTAACCAACTCGGCAATCCGCCCCAATCCCATTCGGCACAAATGTATCCTAGAAAACATAACTAAAAATTCCTTTTGTTCAATCAAACATTGATATAGATAATGAAACAACATTCACGTAACAACGCATCGAGTTTCGGTTTTATTTTCGACTAATCTGCTCCCCAACGCGCTGCAAATTTACCTGAGGGTCGAATGATGGTGAACATTTCATGTTCATAAATTAACTTGAGGAAGCTGACTAAATCCGTGAGACCTTCACCAAATTGATAGTTGCCTCGCTGTGGTTCGTGTAAATTCCATGGAACATAAGTTTCGATCGTATTTAAACCGGCTGCCTTCATTTTCTTGATACGATCGGACCATGATTGTGGTAGAACACGAAAATAATGTAATGAGCCGCTGAGTATTCGAAACGGCAATAAATGTTCACGGTTTCGATTTTTATCGTTGAAGGGACGAATGAATAGATGTCGTTCGTTGTCCAACACTAACGTTGGCAAATACACTACTGGGCTGACAAAAGCCTTGAGAAAGTAAATAGAAATACCAAGTATCGTAAGATAGCCGCAAATAACGAAAAAACGACGGTGATATGACATACGATTTATTCGTCTAGACCATAATTTCATTGCTATGGTTCTTTTTTTATTTTTATCATTGATGTCGGCGAATAAGTAAGACAGAAACTGCTCGATGGAGACACGTGTGCGCTTCGCTGTACAATGTGATCAATCCTTCACATTTGTATAGTAACGAAAGAGAGACATAATGTAGAGCGCAATAGTTGATGAAGGAAAAGAAAAAAAAGTATTTCAAATTGCACATGCAAGTCACCACCAATCGTCGACAATTTTACATATTAGTCATTATGTTATTAAATTGCTTTATTTGATTCACTCATGTCAATTAAAATAATATCTACCAGTTAGTAAAGAACTATTTGTACTTCAATTACTACTAGCATCGTTGTCATTCTTATTATTATCATCATTAACATTATGAAGCATGAGTTGATAATTTTCTTTTTTAATTTTTCATTCACTTCAAGCGATATTTCAAAAAGAATAAAATTGATCTAACTCGAATCTTTCTGAGAAAAATATTCAGGTATCGGCTGTTTCAATTCGCCTTTATCTTCAAACACAATTGATATTGGAAAAAGATGTCCAGAGCGGTCCCTATAGCTATCCCTATTTTTTGTTGTAGGTGGAATCGTGCTAGGCACACACTAACTATTGATAGCGACTACTTGAATACTTTCTTCAAGCGGATATTCAAAAACAAGTCGACCAATACAATCAAATCCATTAATACCAATGTAATCTCTGATGAATCGCGGAAGACCATGAAAGAAACAAAGAATATTTATTATAATATAACGGAGAAAAAAAAACAATAATTTTCCAAGTGATGAAAGTGTTTTGTTGCATAAGTAACAACGATTCTTGTAATATTCGAGTCAATGGTTTTTTCATTCTCATCATAGTCTTTTAATTTTTCAATTGCTTTTGATTGAAGGTACGATTTAATGTCACGTCATTTAATTGACATATACTCATTTGTAATAGAGCTAAATGAGTTGCATAACCATCATCACACCAACTTGAACGCATCAAAATATTTTTACTTGAGCAACAATATCATAAAAAAGACTTGTGCAAAATATTGATCTATACACGGAGTTGTGGCTTTAAAATAGCTGTAAAGCTAGAAATAATACCTGTTTACTCATTTTTACTCGTCATCCATTCCTTTTAAAACGTATTTGAATTTATTTTCGCATGATTTCATAAATTGCTTTAAAAGAGAATGAACATCATCATTTGATCATCGAGGGTGTGGGTGTGAGAGAACTCTTACATCCACATCCACACTAGTATACTTCTCCGATCAGCCGGATGAAATACGTGCTATGGAAGCTCTCTGAATAAAAAATCAAAGAAAACTTATCGCTAGAAGCAATAATATTTGTCAATTTGCCACTAGCCTATATTAACATCCCCATTAAAATTTCGTAGAAATCTGCATGAGTCATGCCTTTCGCAATATGTACATTTGTTTATAAATATTAAAAGAAATTTTCGTGACGATGCATTTACCTGTTTTCGTTCTCAAATATTAACAACATCATGCCGAATGGTCGTAAGCGTGCAGTGCGTGCACGTAAAGAGAGAAATGCACTGCTTGCTTTGGATCACCTCTATCATCCTTCGGCGGAGTCCGTCACTTTTGATCAACTTCCTTCCATTCGTTTTACACATCTTCGTATTCATCCGACATTTGGTAATACAAAGCACATGACAGTATTCGAAGTATATTTTGCTGTAAAATATAATTTCATGGATTTATCTCGATTACCACCTATTCGTGTGTTCAGACATGAAGGTCATTTGTGGAGTGTTGACAATCGTCGATTGTGGGTGATGCGTCAGGTGAATGATTGGCATATTGAAGGTCCATACATCGAGCGTCAATCGCCCATTCGCTTTCAAGAATTTACCATGAAGCACCGTGGTCTAAACGGCACATCGGGCGAAGATGTAACATTTCACCGTGATGCTCCACATGAATGTTGTATTGATGCATGGAAAAGTGGATCATTAGACGAGCATATTGCTGTTATTCATCTCAACATGACGCTAGATGAAGTCAAACTTCTATCTAGATGTATTTTACATAAGGAGAAATGTGACTGTATATACGATGAAGAATCTAACTGTCGAACGCTCTCAGGAATGATTAATGCTCGTAAACGACGACTTAATCAAATTAAACAAACTAATACAGAAACAATCGATAAAATACTACAGGAGGAATAAAGAAAATATTATCAATTCTTTTAAAATTAAACAGTAGTATCGTCATCGAGTCAATTGTGTTTCTATCTGAATATTAAAATGTTTCAAATATAGATGAAAGGGCCAGTGTATGAATGTTAATGAAGTCTTAGATGCATATCTATACTCTCTTTTTTTCATGGCAGACTATTTAAACAAGAAATGACTTCCCATTACAAACACTAGCAACTAGACTCTACCACTGTTAAAGGCACCAGTAAACAACTAAACCATCATCTAATTACATGCATGAACAAATAGTTTATGAACTTATTATACGTTTTAGAAAATAAGGTTCATTTCTTACTTGAGATATTTTACATCATCTTAGCTAGTCTACAAAATATATACGAGCGTCAAAGATTAACCTAAGGGGACTGTGTTAACAAGGTCTTTCTAAAGACCTCCATATATTATGGATAATCTGTAAAATCAAAAGTTTTGTGTTGAGAAGGTTTCTTCACTATGGTATCGTCATCTTACTCACTTTTATTGTCTGATCTTCATAAAAAGCTGTTAGCGGAATCTCTGTAGAATTAAAATGTGAAACACGATGAAACTCCGTTGCTGAAACCGATCTACCATGGTCTGTGAGTCTTAGCAACTTTTCTGCCAGTCTGTGATGATCTTTGAAGCTTCTCTGCCACGGTCTGTATTATAATGCATGGAGTCGCTATAGAGCATCACAGACCGTTACAGTGTGTTCCACAGGCCATCAAACACCGCTACAGAGAAATTAACTAATAAAGAATTAATTAATTTCTCTGTAACAGTCTGTAGGGGTGCATATTTCTATCATATATACTTCAACACTAATTTTAAATCATGTTTCACAAACTATATAGCTATGGGCTCATATACTATGGAACCTTTTGCTTTGATGGTGGCCATATACATTAGAGTAGAGCACACAAAAGTACTCAAGCCATGGAAAAATGAGTGTATCTCTTGTTTATTTATTTAGAGGACGTACGACATAAAAATAATTAAAGCGGTGAAAAATCCGTTTCAGTTCAAGCTTTAATAAGATGATGAAAAAAGTGTTAATGCATTTTTCATGACATGTAGGTATTACTATCGCTGTCTTCCATTGTATCTGCGATTAATTGTCGACAAAGAACACATTTTGGTGGTTTTTCAGGAGTAGCTAGTCGTTGCATTTCATTGAAACATATGTTGCATAGAGTCTTATGTCGACAGGGCAAGCATCGAGCGTATCTTAATCGATCGAAACATTGTAGACACGGTTTGGAATTTGCAATCTGATCTGCGATCATCTCAAGCTCGTTGACCACGACATGTGCTGTTGGGCGCGATTTAGCTTCAGTTAAGAGACAACGACGCATCAACGTAATGTAACTATTCGGAATGTTGACTAGTGTATCAATATGAGCTTGTATAATAGGTTGCGTTATTGGATAGTAAATCGGTTTAGGTGCTACGACGTACATCAATACACCTAACGCATAAACATCGGCACCTGAGCCCTGGTACGTGAAATCATGATTACTCTCCACAGTGAGTTCTGGTGCCAACGGACGCGCTCCGATCACGGTCGAATTTTCTGTACCATGTTGGCATGTGCCAAAGTCAGCCAGAAATACTTGCAGATTGTTATCGAGCAAAATATTTTGCGCTTTGATATCTCGATGAACAAGTTCATAGTTGTGCATATGAGCAACAACACGGGTAATATCAAGTACGATCTGTATAGATTTATCGATTGTTACTTCAGCCATATGATCACGCAGATAATCATGCAAACTCGATGGATATCGATGGAGCAGGATAAACAATTTCTTATTTTCTTCTTCGTAGAGATACCGTAGTGGTACCACATGTTCAATATTTAAATCGGTGACAGAACGATGAAAATGTGCTTCCATATAAGCCATGTCAGGATGTGCAATAGGGTCGAGTATAATTTTGGCGACAAGAGGTTCTTCAGTATCCCAAGAAGCATGATGTATTGAGAAGAAGCTACCTCGACTGATTTCTTCTCCAATATTGATGTCAGGTTTTACTCCATGATGTATGGCCAAATCAATATTAGCCTTTAAGCGGCATTCAATGCGTGCAAATTGGCCGGCAAACGTGCGTGCGAGAATGTAAGCCTCTTTTCGATGGTTTATTGTTTTCATGGCAAGCTTAAAATAATTCTTAACTTTTTGTTTGAATTGCTTCTTGTTTTCTGAAAGCCACTTTTGAACACTTTTCTTAATTCTGTCGCCACAAGTCGCTAGATTATGTTCAACATCGATGAGCTGATGCTCGATCTTATTTAAAATTTTAAGTTCCTCCGACGGCTTTAGTTTTGTAAGTTTTCTTGCGATAAAACCTGATAACGCCCACACAGCGACGATAGGCGCTGCAGCAATCAAATATACCACGCCTACTGGAAAAAAAATTATTCCAACTGCGTAGTTCAGAATATCCACAATATCAAAAGTTTTGTCGCCGATATTTCCGATAGTATAGAGGAAATCTCTGTAGACTGCCATAATGAGTTCATTCTTCGAACACTTATTTGGTAAACGTCCATGTTGGGTGATCTCCGTTTTTATTCGACTACTCGTTTTTTCTACAATTTTATTGAGAGTTGGTTTCACTATTTCATCTGTAACAGTTTGTGAAATGAGACCTTCGAGAAATAGTTTTCCATGGATGGCCTCCTGGTATCGATCATATTCATTACTCAACGGATCACAACCCGTGGACCATACACCGTGTACTGCATACTCTTTGGCTCGTTCAATGAAATCATTACGGTGCTTGCGGAATTCTATTGGTAATTGTACTTGAGCGTCTTCCGCGATACTCTCTAAATGCGAAGAATATTTCTCAAAGAAGTCATCGGCCCATCTAAACGCTTCTTGTTGCAGCTTTTCCCATTCTTCCTTTGATCGCCGATTGGTTACGAGAACAAAATCAAAAAATGTAGTGATCGTATTTAATATGATATGACTAACTTGTTTAGTGTTTTGTAAATTATATTTTGCTGCAAAAGTGACAATACGATCAATAGCGCTTTTCTTCATTGTTTGTTCCATCGGATGTTCAGGGCCCTCGACACTGAAAATATCAAAACAATCGCAGTCGTTTAGTTTATCAGGCAAACCACTGCTCATCCCCGATACGTTGCGTAAAAGAGAATATCGGTCAACTCGCTCCTTTTGAAGCAGAACATTTATTTCTTCTTGCTCAGGTAATTCATCTATTCCAGCATCGCGTAACACTGTGCTAATGTCAGCCTTTGTGTTAAGAAAGAAGATACCAACTGCAGCTATTTCTTGAATAGATAATTTGAGTGCATCGAAACATTTTTTAGAATCTTCTGATACAGTTTCATTGTCATAGAGGAATATTAGAGAAGGGCGTCGAGCTCTGATCAAGTCTTTTAAATTCTCGACGAGTATAGGATCATCACCAAAGTGAAAACCTGGTGTATCGTAGACGGTAATGCCGAGTTCAAGAACGGGCGATGGAATATAGATTTCAATAAAATCTGATGCCCATTCAGCAAACTCTTTCGAAAATGGACCATAATCTTTAGGACGAGCCAACTCACCTGCGATCTTATCCTTCAGGTCCTTCGCATTTTCTCGTTTTTGCTGTGTTGTCATTTGATTCGTGGATAAGAAGTATGGCGAGAGGTCGATGAGGTTTTTGGTGGCAGGCGAATGAAATCCACCTCCTTGCACCAATAGACGAGCCTCTTCGGCTGGAGCATAGGAAAATTTGACAATTCGCGCAGTAACAGCGCCTTTTCCAGCCGGCAAAAAGCTGCCCTTTCCAAGAAAATGATGCAGAAATGATGTTTTACCAGATGAGTTATACCCGCAAACGGCTAATTGTACTTCTTCGAATGTTTTAAACTCATTGAGAATCTTCATTTTATCACTAGGCAGAAAGATGTCAACCACATCTTTGATAGTGCTCAGCCTTGTATAAGACAAGTCAATTTGATCTGTGAATTCTTTATGGAGAGCCAAAAATTGTGAAACTGTGGCCATCGTCGATTGCTTGATGGTGCTGTTCGACTGAATTATATTCTTGATAACCTCATTATTATTCATCTTACTGTTGATTGAAGAAGTCGAAATTCAAAGCAAGTCTTGGTTAAGTGATAAATTAAAAAATAAAAGCAAACAGTCTGACGTGCAACGTTTTGCTAAGATAAAATATATCAGTAAAGATAGATGACGACCAAACAACATGCACACAACTGCAACCCAACATCTTTCTCTCAAGAATGTTGCGTATAGTATCTTTCATGCCGATGAACAGCTTCCATTCTTTTATTGATCACTCCGTGTGATTCGAAACGGACAACTATCTCCGGTTGACCGATCGCTATAATGTGCACTATAATCTGCGTTTTTCTGAAGGCCGCATTTCATCATTTTTTTATATCATTAAAACTATTCAACAGGTTTTTTCGGTCTATTATGATTGTCGGAAATTAATCAGCTTCCGCAACTGTATGGTATGTCAACGCGCCTGAGTTAGCTATATTAGTCACAGAGTCGAAATCAATCTCGTTACAGAGGTAATCTTTTTATTGAAAATGGCTCTAGAAAAAACTAAAGTTCTATTATATTGTATGAAACTATGTATTTATTCACAAGAGGGAATTCTGATTGATAATGAATTAGAATCAGGCGAGAAAGCATCTTTCCAGTTTGGTTTTAATGAGAACCAGAAGATTCATAGGTTACCGGCAATATTGCCCGTATACCGCCGGTCTTTTCAACTAACACGGTATATTTTCGTACATACGTATGTCATCATGTCATTTTGTGATTCGGATTTAATATCGTCTAATCATTCAGCACAAAAAAGAAAAGAAAAAAAAATATTAAAAACACATGGCAAGAAAAATCAGATCTTGACGCATTTTTCCTCTATCAAACGAGTGTTTCAGGATTTAACTTGATATTTACATTTTTATCATGATCTTCAGTCGTCGTCGTCGGAACTTTTTGTTCATTATGTGTAGAAGAACATGTACATTTTTGTTGTTGCTGTTGTTGGCGACGAATTGTAGCTGCTAATCGTTGATAAGGACACTGTCCATCTTGTATTGTTTCATAAATATGCTGCGAATCTAATTGATAATGTGAATGTAATGGATAAAATGTTTGAGCTGACGAATCAAAATGGCAATGTGCTGGTGCAGATGGAAAACGAATCATTCGATTGTAGCCAGTATTGATTGGACACGATGGTAAAACAATTGGGCAAAATGTTTTTGGTTCATATCGATGTTGAATGTAAACCGATTGATTTTGATCGAATTTCTGCTGTCTTTGCAATGTTAATAATTCATTTGGATCTTCATAAGCGCTTGCTGTTGTTGCTGTTGTCGTCGATGTTGTCTGCTGTTTTTGAGTATCAAGCGATGCAAATACTGGTGTATCGCCATATGTTATCGATGAACATGAGGATGTCGATAAACGTTTCGCACAGAAAAATGGTCGATTTGTACTACTAGTTTTTGAATTAATACTTGCTTTTGATCGTCGTTGTTTCCAACAAAGAACAATTAGAAGAAGATTTAAAAAAAGAAGGACCATAACAAAAATAATGATTGATACAAAAATGAACGAAAGAGTATAGCGACGTGCTAGAGGCGAACGAGACGAATCTGTGATAGTAACTAATGAAGTCGTTAGTAAAGATATCGGCCGAGCTGTTGCTTTCGACGATGACATAATAGGAAAAGGAGAATCAAATGAATTTCTGCATGAAACTTTTATTAATTGATCACTATGTATCATTAACCAAAAACCTTTTCTTGTAATAACATCATTGGTTTTAAAAGTTAAATGAATCGATGAATTAACTATCGGTGATGATAATAATTTATCGTTTTGTTCGATTTTTGAATCGCAATAAGATCGATTTTCTATTTGTAAATAATCACGTGAGCATAAATTCATTTCATCACGTTCTTCAAGGTAGAAATCAAGAAATTCGAGCATCGATTTCTTCGCCTCAATTTGACATGAGCAATTCAAAGAATTCTCATATTCATGTGGATAATTTGGACTGCGAATAAGTAAACGATGTTTTAAATCAATTGGAGACGTTAAAATTACATTATTATCGCACACAGATAAACTTTGACCTTGCAAACATGAATAATCAAGTACCATATAATCACTATATTGACTACCTAAAAAAATAATTACATAATAACATTTACGTACAATCGAGTATTTTTCTTTTGCCGATCTCAACTAGAGTCTGTTTATGTTTAGTGGAGTATCATAGAAAATTTTGTTGATCTAACGATCGGTGACATTTCAATAGTAAAACTCAAAATACACGCACAGGATAAAATCGTACTGTTAAGATAGGAATCAGACTAACGGTTTCAATATGTTGTTTGTGTCCAAAATATTGAACAATTCAATGTAGATAAGAACGTTCTGCTTTATTGACAAGGACTCAATGGGCTTGATTAACGTTAATAATTAGATTTCAGTGACGGATATTATCAGTACGCTGCAGTTATACATCGCTAAAGCATGCGTGAACCGGGCAAAGTTCTATGTTCCATATTGTGTAATTCAATCGAAACAGAACTGACTTTCAATAATATAATCGAACAACAACATTCAACTAGGAATCGGTTCACAAAATATCCATTTATTCGCTTCTCTGGCTCACAATAAAAATGTTTATGAGCATTTGTGGATCTTCTTTTTCTTTCGATTTAATCATATACGTACATAAATCTCATGTTATATATTATTCTTATAAATCTCAGCAATAGTGTACAAGAAATTTTTTTTTTCTAAAGGCTTCTCATAATAACAGCACTTAGTACATCGTATATCGGTGCAAATTGAACATTTGTACAGCTTAGCAAACAAAAAATTAATATTGTTCTATGCACTTCTCTCGTTCACTTTAAAAAACAATGAACAACGGAAGTACTCAATAGCGTAGAATATATAGAGAGAGAGCGAAACATGGAAGTGATTGATTGTTTTTCTTTCACTTACATATATGTAAATATTGCGGATTTAAATCAAGATTACATTTTTGAAGTCCATTGCATTCCATACCAATATAGGTCGTACGCGTGGTACAATCACCTGGCTGAAACGAACACGATGATGATGCTGTTTTATGTACACCGAATGTTAAAGTTCGCACAAGAATATAACCGTTGTTGGCACAAGAAAGTGTGACAGCTGTTTTATTCGTTGTTAACAATCGCCGGTTATTGTTATTATTATTTAATGTACAACCATGAACTGTTTCGCTATGAATGTGTTTGATTTGAAATTGAAATAAAAAAATGTAAAAGAAAAATAATTTGATAACAATCATCTAGAATAGAAAAACATGCCCGGTGAATAGCTTAAAAATTCGCGAAATGCGCTCTTCTTTTTTTATGGCGGTATATAATGTGCATGACAAGAGTAATTTAATGTAACATGATGATCCTTATCAGAAAGAGTGTTTTCTCACGTACATATCCTGCTGTGTCTATTGTACGTTTATTTGAAAGATGAGATGTTCAATATATTGAAATAGAAACAAACTCCGCCTATTTACTTCACACTTTTATACTCAAGATCAGAGATGAAAAAGGTCGTTGAATGCAATTTTTTTCTTCTTCTCTTTCTCTCTCTATATATATATATTCATACTCGCATTTTGAATCATACGAAAGAAAATTGGTTTGTCCCTCAAACTCATCGATCATTCATCTTATATGCATCCGTGTGTACGAAGGTTAACTGGTAATAAGTAATTGCATATCTCTACTACGGCTACTATCTACATCCGCTCGACAGCAGATTATAATTTGTATGTGCATAAAACTATATTCTTTTATCCTAGTCTATCATCTCTCTCGCCTTCGAATAATACTATCATCATTATCCATTAACTCTTGGCTGCAGTTCTATTAGAAAGAAATTAAAAAAAAAAGATAAAACGAACTGCTGATTGACTCATGACGATTTTCCAGTTGACCCTCAAGCTGCAGCTGTGCGGTCAATCATTATGTTTTTCATGTTTCTACTCATAATGTTATTCTTTTAGGCTGTACCTCCCGAATGAGTATCAAATAGCAAACCTCCATTGTTCCACAGAGAGCAGAAGAGAAGAAGAAAAAGAGAAAAAGAGAATAAAAGATGTAGTGTGCCGCGCATTCCCAAGGCAAATCAATGAAAGAGAGATAATCAAAATGAAAGCAAACGACCTTTATACAAATTACGAATACATGAACATGACTTGTTCGAACATTGTTTAGCATTTTTTGTGAACAATAATATGAATATGGATGATCAGTGAAGAAGAAAGAAGTTAAAGCATAAAAATATAATTGATCGATTTTTAAATAGAGATTCGTTTTGGTGGTGGTGGTGGTGATGATGATAGTGGCACCAACAGTAGATATCATGAAAAAGAGATTGCTTACTTGTGAAAAGATCAAAAGCGGAATGGGAAACAGCTTTGATTAGATATGAAAATATTCTGAATTTCAATTTTCTTTCTTTTTCACCATATTTTTTGAAGCCAGCGGCAAATATCTTTGTGTTACCCTTAAAATACTTTCATACTCCAGCTGTGACTTCTTGTCAATGAGATGATAATCATGAGTCGCCTTCTTACCTTCACAACATGTCGTCGTCGTCGTCGTCGTTTATCGTTTGACTTGTTCATACACGCATACTGCTGTGATGATGGCGACTGACACATTCTCTCTCTCTCTCTCCTTTTTATTTTTTCTTCTCTCTACTATTTTCATTTCATTACACTTCTCAAAATTGACCATCGATGAGGAGAGAAGAACAAGAACAAGAGAACGAAGCGAATGACCGAGTGAATGTAAAGAATGCCAATCAGGCAAAGAGCGTGTGCGATGTGGGGACTTTCGCTTTGCATATATAGCAAGATAGTTTATTTGAACAGACGATGTCGTCTCATGCGAAATATGATCGATTTTCAAACATACACATATAGACATACATATACGATTTAAGCGTTTATCTTTATGCATACATAAGAGTGACGTTGAACAGTGGCATCCACGATCGTCAGCGGACGCTCGTTTTTCTTTTGTGAAAGCGATTACTATTGCCAGTACATAGAAGTTACTCGCCTTTGACTAATACTACTTACTCGGTATAATCTTTATCGAGTTGTAACACTTAGTTAATGAACAATAACTGACGTCATCGTGTCATTTTTTGCTTCAATGCCTTACTTTTTTTTGTCAATGAAGGGGAAATAATAACGTGTAGAAAGAGAGAAAAAGATCAAGTTAATCAAAAATGCGAAAGATATTGATTAAAACACTATCATTTCCTGTGTCGAGTATCTTCAACGAACCCTTCAGGCTATATATATATATACATATATGATTATGTGTCAATGTCTATCTGCAGCTGTCTCATGCTCATTTTTTCCTTTTCTCTCTCTCTCTCTCTCTCTCTCTCTCTCTCGTATTCGAACTGTGCCGCTATCTAAACTTTGACTGTTAACAATCTCGAATATTGTTCTAGACAATTGATCGGAACAAAGGATCCTTTCACTTTCACCACAGATACACACATGACGAAATAATTTAAATAATGATAAATTTGCATTGAAATCAACTAACGATGATGAGCATCACATAGACAATAGAAAATGTCTTCTCTAATTTAATAAGTGTGCGCTCCGCCTTTCTCTTCTCTCTAAATGATGATTGATAAAAAGCGGGACAGAAACAGCGGGGATAATGATTGCTATATTCAATGAAATAATCTATACTGATCGGCTAACGGCTGGGTAGTCTCGTTGAGCTAATAAATTTGATTACATGTTTTTTTCTCTCTTTTACATTAGCAAACTTTCGTTTCGCATATTGAGTTTGATGGAACACAAAAAAAAGAAATTATCATGTCATTTTCTTTTTAAACACTTAACTTTTCTAGTTGCTATGACGTAATCATTACAACTCGTAATTTCCGTTGAACTATTCTTACCCAATGAGCTAACCGGATCTAACGACATAACACCGACGAACAAGTGAAAGTCAAGATTCTTCTCTTTTTTGTATTCTATTCTTTGTAGTAAAGTCAATTTGCATATACGAGGCATATACATTCACATTCTCGTGTATTCCTTTGGGCTGAATGAATATATATAGCAATAGTAGTAACTAGTTAGTCTTATAGCCTAGAAACAAAAGATCAATATTTGTACTAAAGTAAATGTATGTGATCATTCGTTTGAAGTTCTACCGAACATTGACCAAATTTAATTTCCGTTTGTTATACTTACTGTATAGTTCGTTAAACGTCTCACTGCCATATCAATATATGCATATGGGTAGTTATTAAATGAGAAAAAAGTAGAGCGTATACATATATGAACTCGCAGATTGCAGACAATGAACAGTATTACGATTGTGTGTGTGTGTGTGTGTTTGTGCTTAGCTATAAAGAAGAGAAGACTAAGACGCAACACTCCCATGAGATGTAAATCTTCTCCATCTGTGTGTTAATGTGATAATCGTGCTGCATGTATTCGGAAGAATACGAACTAGGAACAACAGTGCGATCCATCACTAGACTACTGAAAAAAGAAGAAGATGAATTTGATTAACTAAGAATGAATGGCGGAAAAGATAGATCGTTTCAAGACAAAATCAATCAATATCTTATTTTGCACTTATTAAACAATTGATGATCATATAGTGGCATCGATGCCTACTGAAGTTGTATGATGTAAATCAATTCTTCAGTTTCTTTTTCTATTCTTTTATGCAACATGAAATGATATTGATGACAGTGAATTCGGTCGTATTCAACTGAAGTCAATCAATCATCACATAATTTATTTGAGATTGGTCTTGTAAAAGCCAAGATTCACTGTGTTAATGACTGATTTTATATGTATACATGTAAGAGATATCATTCGTCAGCATGTCTTATATTTATCTTCTAAGAATAAATAGTTATACATACTAGTCATTGTCTACTAATAGCCATTCATCTTCAGGCTATGATAGAAGAAACGTTCATTAATTAACAAACGCCACGTTTACTAGTATTGTTGCTGACCGTGATGACTATCAGTTGAGATGATCAGAAAAACAAGCAAACAAACGTCCTCACAGATTTCGGAATGGGCTATTAGCGATGATCGTTTATCAAGCAAAAAAAGTCTATAGATCATATATATGGAATGCTAAGAATTACTACTCGTAAGAAGTCGATGTGCGCGAAAACGATAATAGTCGGGTTGCAATTTTTATTTTGGCAAAAGTTATTTACAGATTGCAAGTAAACATCATGCAATCGTGCATGATCAAGGCGAACAAAAAGATTAATCATTCCAAACGATAGAATTACGTTCATGAAAAACACTAGGAGGATGGTTGCGAAACAAAATGCCTCGACATAACTGAATCTTGTCTGAAATGACATAAAATTTTCCGTCAATGAAGTCCGTCTCGAAGGTGTTTTGATAAATATTCAAGATAAGTCAATGATTACTGAAGTATCGAATTTCGCATCTATAATAACGATTGTTCGACTGAAAACCAATTATTGATTTGACGTATTTGATCAATAGAATAACAATTATAAAGAATAGTATTGCTTGTTAATTACAATAGAAACGGAAAATGATGAAGTCGTCGATTAGCAGGCTCACAAAAAAAAGAGGCCATGGGATATGAACATAAAACAATAGTGGTCTACGCTTATTAATTACTACTGACTTCAGATTATTCTTACATAAGAACTAAACACTTTTTTTTTCTTTTGATTGATGAAGTTAATTTAGCATATCTTAGATTATAACAAGACATGGAGACATTATTCTTTCCTGTCATTCGTGAGCTGTACGAACATGTGCAATTATTTCTTTCATAATAGAAATTGTGATTAGGATAAACATAATCTTGCTAGTGTACAACTTAGTTGAACGAATAAGCTGTTTACGTAAGAATTTTTTCTTCTGAAAGCAAAGTTACATAGACATGTTAGATGGCACAATAGACAAATAGGAATTAAAATAGAAACATAGACAAGACGACAACTGTATTATGAAATACTCGTTTTTCCAAAGATAATTTTCCAGATTAGACATGCTATAGTCGTCTAACTCGGAGATAACCACGAGCGATAAAATGATTATGAAAAACATAGACACAACAAAAAGTAGCCATGGAGATTTTTCTTGTGAATGAAAATGCTAAGCTCGATTAAATTTTGTCTCAGCTATATTTCATAATCTTTGTGTCTGAGTGTGTTACTTTATTTATTAGCGGCAATTCTTTTACTGAGATTTGATCGTCTAAGGCATTCTTTTTTCTTGATTAAATTGAATCCATTATTCATCGTAGATCTACGAATGCCTTAGGCTTTCAAAGGTAATAGCAATGACGCCACTCTTTTGTATGAATTAACACAATAGTAACACTCATTTTTTATTTCATTATCTTTGAATAAGGCAATGTCATAAGATGTATGTAAGCATAGAAGACAAGGCTGAATACCAGCGTGTCTCGATTTGTAAAGAAAAATCACAAGATAATTAATTCCATACATGAAAAGACAAAATAAGTTAGTAAAACATGATCGTCAATGGGACCCATCTGGTCTTTATTTTTATCGTTAACTATCGCAGTCACAAATCATTCGACTATTCATTTTAATTATGCAACTAAGAATCTGTTTGTTTTTCTTCATTTAAATATTCATATCAGAGAATAACAGCAGTGTTCAGATGTCCAAAAAATAAAATTACACAAAATTCAGAAATTTTGGACCTGATATCTGCGAAATCTCTGTTATTACAAAAATTTAATAATTTCCAAAACTTCCGAAAACACTTTTATTTGGCTTTATATGGTCTTGAAGACAATGAAAATTTCCGTAATTTTGAACATATCTCCTTATTTATGGAAGAATAATCAGAGTACACAAGAGAAAATGTAACAATAACAATTTCTTTGAAAAAAAAAATAACACAAATATCTACTTATGAAGGCCTTTTCTGTGTTTATGATTATAGTTTTGTTTTAAACTTTAATATTTTTAAAATGATATTTCATCGTAATCAAAGAAAAGAAAATTATATTTGATAAGGATTTGACAATTTTCATTAACAAAAGTTTTTCTAGGTTTTGTAAACCAGTCCGTCAAAGGTCCGTATTATCAAGAAAATCAAAATCAAGATTATCAAAGTCCACATTTGAGAGCAAAGGTTGAATACCATCAGGGTAACTATCGGTCGGCGTGTCATAGTTAGTAGCACTTGGCCCAAGAGGTTCATCACATTGTATGAGATGGTTCATCGTAGGACAGTTATCAGTAACAGTATCAAACTGACCATTATTCACATTCACTAAACTTTCAAATAAACTTGGGTTTAGAATCGATTGAGTATCAGCCTGAAACAGAGAAATCAATAAATATCAGATGTTATGAATTGAAAGAAATAAAAAAATGTTCATTCTTGACAAATTACAACATTAAATCAAAAGATGAAATCGTTTCATGCTTGTAAACAGCTATATATTTTTCATAAGAATACTAAAAATATTTCTCACAACTTACTAAAATATTGAACACCGATGGAGGTAACATATTCATCGATGGATTAGTGCTATAGCACACAGGCAGAACCTGGCTGTCATGCACACGAGAAATGTTATCGTTTCTCGATGAATCCATTATTGGGGAACGATCTTGTAGTTTTGGATTTTTCGTCGTTGTTGGTTTTTTATTCGAATTATTTCCTAAAATATGCTGCTTTAGTCATGTTCAAAAAAAATTTTAAAATCACATACGACGTTTCCGGGGTTGATTTTCTATCGATGCAATCGGTATCGTTTCGGTTACATGATTCGAACTAATAGTTTCGATCTTTTTCTTTGGTCTCTCTAAATATCGAAGAAAAATATGTTGTATATTTATAATCAAGGCAATGATTCTTACCTGGAAAATCCATTTGATTCGATAGCACCAAAGTCTCCCATTGGATAAGATCATTTCTTTTAAGAACAAGAGCAAAATGACATGATTCATTGTCATCAACTGACGATCTGCTGTTATTGTTGTCTTCGAGTTCGCATAAAACACGTACGGGTTCAAAATAATATAATTTTGCTTCTTTCATCGTCAAAACTATCAATTCGAGCCTACGAATAATAAAAGCACAAAGTGCAATTCAGAAATAATAAATTTGATTTACTCTGTCCCTTGCGCGCTTGCCCAATCCTTGTTCCCAATAGGTATTTCATAATGGTCCAATCGTTTGTTTACATTATCTCCATTAACAAAAGTTCGTATTGGATGATAGTAGAGCGTGCGTTTTCCTGATTTTCGCACATCCAGTACAATATAAACAAGTAAATTCCAGGTAGTACCAGGTAGTATGTTTTTAATTTCATCGTGCCAAATCTATCCATAAAAACAATTATACGGGTGAACTTCAAAGATGTTCAATTTAAAAAGATTCTTACTCTAAAGCGAGGCAATACGCGGTTTCTACAGCTTGGACTTTTTTTGCCCTGTATCATAACAAGTTTACGATCACTAGAATATTGATTACGTTGGGACTGGTTGACATTATGACGCGAAGGAAAACCCATTTTCGAATCATTTGATAATCGAACTGAAGGGGGTGCCAGTGATTCTGGAACCGGCAGTGATTCGCGAACTGGTTGTACACGTGCATTGTCCTGGACGTTAATGTCTACAGCTAAAAGATCAAATGATGGATTAGGATGCACATCTATTCGCATGCAGACATACCATCTTCAGAATGCCTGACTTCTTGATCAGCATTTGAATTAGGAACATGGCCTATAGAAGAAAAAAATAATTCAAAATCATAGAGAAGAACTTAACTCACTTCGTAAGGTGACTTGTACTTCGACATATTCTGTTGCTGAATTGATTGCGGTTGGATTGAAAGGATTAAATTCTTTCAAATAGTCATCATCCAAAATGACAAAACCAACTCGTTTATCTCGAATTTGAATACCCATTGGAAGCGTAAAATGGTTAGATTTTGCTAAAACAAAATTTGCAATATCTTTCATTTTTGTTTTGTCATTAAATTCCATTGTGGTATAAGGATATGATGCACCATCAAAGGTGTCAAGAATAATTAATTTTGTTTGAAGCTGCATAATATTATTACCTTATTCTTCTTGTTGTTTGTATTAAATGCGCTAGATCCGAGTGTACCATGCGTATTATGAAAAACAAAACCGGCGGAAAATCCCGACGCTGCATAAAAAAGGTCGGAATAATTAAACGCACGTTTTTCTATCAAATAAGCAGAAACAAAAAAAACACGGTCTTTATGCGTAGCAGAAAAGAAAAAGAAAAAACAATATTTTGTCTTTCTTGTACAGTCAGCCATGTAGTAATGCAAGAAAGAAAAAACAAAAAAACACAGAACAACAAATAAAACCAACTCTCGGAAAAAAATGTGTTGGAAGATTTTCACCGTTCTGTACGTTTCTTTTTTGTTGTTGCATCATGCTTTAGTTGTACAAGAATAAAAATATGTAAAACACAACGATTTCACATCTATCAATGTACTTAAAACTATACTGATGCATGATGCAATCTCTGTCGTCTAAAATAAATGGCTCCTCAAGGAAAACACTCATAGTACTCATTAAAATTTACTCCTTATAATATAGGCTAAACGAATTGTTAAGATTTTATTTTTAATTCGATGTGCTTGTAAATTCTACGTAGTAGAATGTTGCAGAATTTCTTCGTCTCACATTTTAAATTTCTCATTTTGTTATCTCTTGACTAGAACGGTAACTCAGGTCTACTTTACTGTACTCCAGAATAGGGAAATCCCATTTTTCTTGCTCTCAGCTCGGCCTTGAAACAGGTTTGGTACATCTCTAGTTGATATACTATTGAAACTCAAGTGTACGAGAAATATTTCGGCCAATAAATATATTTATCAATTCGCTAGATTTATTCGAAGAATTTAAATACTTTTAATAATCAAAATTCAACACCAGTAAATGATAAGATTACTATGAAAAGCGAAAAAAAGATCTTAATTACTAAAGCAAAATATGTTTTCCTTTTTGTAATAAAAAATCTTGCTAAATGCCAAACATATTAATTCGATTATTCAGCCAATTCAACTCAATCACTAATTTATGTCAATCAAAATATTAGAACAAGAAGCTGTTCAGCAACATTATAGATACTACTATCTCTCTCTAACATCGGTAGAAGCAGTACATCTAGCATATACTTACAAATTTTCACTAGTGGAGAAGAAAAAAATCATTTCAACATTTCAGAATTCGAATGCTACGAAAGTAGATACATATATCTTCACATGCGATCGTTTTAGCTTGCAGAAAAACAATGTATCTTACAGTGAACGTTGAGAAATCTGTCTGTTAAATGTTAATTCATAGAAATATAAGTAAGAACAAAACACCCAACTTACTTATACAAACATATTCTCGTTGAAATGTCAAATCTTTCTATGAGCGTCATAAAACAACAATCAATGGTCAGTAAAAACTTATATCCATACGAAAAAATGCTTTTCCTGTCTTCTACCACAAACAAAACTAAATTTCGATTAATACGATGCCCACTCTGAAATCAGATTCATTGAATGAAGAGAATTTTGAAAAAAATTATACGATTTTAGCGGGAATTTTTAAGTGAGTTTTCATCTGCACGATAGAATAGGATTCGTACTTCTCACGAAATACCCATACAACAAGTAGAAATAAGTTTAGTGGATTTATATTTTGTTTTGTTTCTACCTAACGAGGGACCGTTCCCAAGTTATTGGCACCGTTTGGTCTAATATTTTGCTCATAGAAAGGATCCAATGAGACTAGGAAACGACTACAAGATTTCGCGCTATTAGGTCTTTCTTTCAAAGTTATGACTGTTTTACTAAATTTTCCACCTTGGACAAGGAATTTCGAACTGGAATTTTTCCTAACAATAGCTTTCATCAATGTTAGAAGGCTGCGAAAGTTTCAGTTAAAACTGATGCTTTCTTTTAGAGATATTGCAGATTAAAGAAAACGGTCATGGTTGAAAAGAAAGCATCATCTTTAACTGAACGTTTTACAATTCTCTAACACCAATGAGACCTATTGTTAGGCAAAATTTCAAGTCGAAATTCCTTCATACAGTTTTTCTATAAATCCCTTGGCCAAGGTCCAAAATTTAGTAAAACAGTCATAACTTTGAAAGAAAAGTCTAATGGCACGAAAGCTTTCAGTCTTTTCCTAGTCTCATTGGATCTTTCCTATGAGCAAAATATTAGACCAAACGGTGAGAATCACTTGAGAATGTTCCCTCGCAAGTGAAGTATTGGATGACCGTCAAATTCAATATTCAAATGTATGTACGGTTCCATTTATTCAGCAATTGTTTATTCATACAAAAATTTATAAACCATACTTGGCAAAGTTAAGTGTACTTGACACATACAAAAGTACATGATTAGCAATATCCTTTTATTCGAATTATTATTATTCGCCTTGGATAGACATAGTTCACGTGATCACCGGGGCCACTAAGTTCAGATACGGACTAAATGCAGGTGTTGAATTCGAAACAGCAACTTTTTATTTAAGAACAAAAAACATAATATTTCAAGATATCTACAATTCATTGGAATCTAAACGATAGATTTAATTCAAATTCTAAATTAGCTAAGAGATTCGCTCCATGAGAAATATGATATCAATTGTTAAGTTGATTATCGTGTAGTGCCTAAAGCATACATTCTTGTCTTTTTTTTTTTATTACAAACAGATTTTTTGATATATCATTCATATACTATATGAATTAATTAGGCTCGTCTATAGTTAATTACAGATATAGAGTCTAGAAAAACACGAACAGCGTATTTGTTATACGTAGATACAATATCTAATTTGTAATTCAACGTTAACTTTTATAATATTCAATAGACAAGGGTTCATCGCAAGACAAACTGTTCTGCCCGTTAGTGTCTTTCATCACTCATTATATTTTTACAAATACGTTATTCATAGCTTATTCTATAGTTGTTAGTAAATTAATGAGCTGTTCCATTCGTCGATGTAAACACATCCGAATTGTTTATATTAATAAAATTATACTTCCATTAACGTTTCTTTCTTTTTCTTGTGCACAAGTTGGACGGTGCTTTTTTTTATTGTTGCTGTTTCATAATCGGAACATGTCGGCCTTCGTCAAATGAAAACAACATCAATTGACTTCGATATACTGCAAAAGTTTTGCCTCATCCAAAAAATTCACTTTCTTCACCCGTAGGGTTTCAATGCAATTATTAAAACGGAACTTGTAGAATGTTATTTAAGTTGTTCATCATGTTGACCTTACTATTATAATGGCTTGTCATAGGTAATAAGAATAATTTTCAATTGATTTATTATTCTTTTCTTTTCTTTTCTTTTCTTTTCATTCATAGAATATCAAAACTTCTAAACATAGAAATTCTTATTATTAAAGTAATATGAAAAAAAGACACGCTGAATAACGTACAAGTAAACGCTGTTAATCTAGTATGAATGCAATTAATTGTATTGCTCGTGTTGTTTCAGATACTCGTTCGTAATAAAAATTTGGGCGTTTTTTCTTTTTCTCGATTGTGATAAATAGAACTCGTAGATCATCTATCATATTCACCATTGTGTATGCCTAGTCTATCTTCCTGTAACGTATTTTTAGTGATACACATGTGTGAAGGTCTCTCTGATCTATACAGTTAGTTAGGCTACAATTTATCAGGCTTGGACTGATCGATCATTGTCCGGATACGAGAAAAAGAAGACAAATGTTTATATCTTCAGCTTCACTATACAGTTCATTCTTGTTCTTTTTCTTTTCTTGTGCTCTACGCGATCGACATATTGATGTGCTACATGCCCGCATACCTAAAGAGATATTTAGCATGTCTATCTAAGAGAACAAAAATATTCATATACATACATATATTGAGTATTCTGTTCCATTTACTTTTTCTCTTCTTTTTTTGCATTTGACATCAATAATAATCATTAGATCGGCATAAAAAGAAAATACTTTAGCAGATTTCTCCTTCTCTTTGCTACAAAAAAAATCCAACAGAACTTGTCCTTGTCAGTTCTGTGAGTGTAAAACACCGAGTCGTACAAATATTGGCATAGAATCTCAAATCAGACAAAGAAAAAAAAACATTTGTGCGACAAGTTTCCACTTTCAAGGTAAGCAGAATATATATATACTTTTTGTAAAAAAAAGGTAACAGTAGTAAAGTAACTTCACTATTGTCGTTTTCTCTCTCTCTCTTGTGTACTTCAACTTTATATTGCGTCATTGTCGATACCATTTCTAACAACGTAAGAGTATAAATATGGCATGTAAGAATAACGGACAAAGGTCGTCTTAGCAATAAACTTAACGATGATGGTCATCGATCTATCTAATTGAATCTGTTTGGTATTAGTAGGCAAGGAAATACAGAAGGAACAAAGCATAGAATGGAGCATATCGTTTTTTCTTTTTGTATGCGTGTGTGTGTGTGTGCGTGTTTCTTCTGATTATAACTAGATTGAATGTTCTCCTTTTTTTTTCTTCTATGGATTCGATCCATTTATTTTTTTTCTCTTATATACAGTCAGTAGACAGATACGTGCGCATATACGTTGAAGCTATGGAATATGAGATGGAGGGTACCACTACCGTCTGCTTCGTATGAGTATACGGAAGCGGTAGCCTTTGTGAGATTGGGACGGGAAAAAAGTATAGAGAGAGAGAGAGGAAGAGGAGAAGAGAAGAGAAGAAAAATCGATGCATTTGCCTATTGTCGTTGTTATATAGACATATATACAAGCATACATAGTGACCGATCGAGGGCAGTCGGACAACTATAAAATTCAATTTTTGTGTTTCTTCTTTCTTGCTACACGTAAGTGAGATTGATTGTGTTCAGTAAAAGACGTGAGGTCAATGTCATCAACGTGACTGGCAACAGTACGTTGAATTACGTCTGTGCAATTCTTATCGTTCTGTTTCATATATGAATTTTAATTTGGTGAACTTCTATCGTCTTTTTTTCTCTTAACACTTCTATGACGTAAGTTTGGCGTTTTTTTTTAAACATTGCACACATTTACATTTTTTTAATGCGCATTTGTCTGCAGCTGGAAATATAAGGTACGCTATTAACATTGGCAGATGAATATTCTTCGAATTGTCTTATCGTTATTGCCTATTTGGACATTGGTTCATTTCTATTTTTTCTTCTTATTCTTCTTTCTCTACGTGTACGTAATCATATCGGTAGTAGTAACGAGCGAGAAGACGTAGATATTTTGTCTTCATTCTAATGTAAACAGTATCGTCGTATATTACATCAAGATTAAACAGGAATCTTTGTCTATCGATCGATTTTTACTATGCGATGATATCTTCAAATGATGATAGATATACGTATAAGATAGAAACAACATGTTCTTCTTCGCATCGTGTCTATTATAACGAAATAATCATCTAATGTATTATCTTTTACATTCTATAGATCTTACAACTTGCCTTCTAACGTTAAACAAACATTGAATTGTTGTTTTCTTTCAGATGCCGGATACAGGTGCGGTGACGCCAATTGTATCAAATCAACTTCCACCACGTACAACAACAAGTCATCGATGGCCTCGAAAATGGGCAACACTCGGTGGACGTGGTACACCAGCAACAACACTACCTCCAACAAATCTTACTGATGCCGAACTAAGTGAAAAAAGCAATGGTCATCATATGAATGGCAATGGTCATCACCATCATCATCGATATTCAACATCATTATTTCGTAAATCATCAACGATAAGTCGAACCAATGGTGGCACAACAACAAATAATTCCGAGCTAAATAATGAAGCACCATCATTGAAAAAATCTCGTTCGTTAATAAATGTTCTACGTTCGAAACTAAATTCTCCAGCTGTACTTCGTCGTTTCCGTACAAAATCTCGTGAGAATGCCAAAGCAACAATAACAGAAGTAAATCCTGAAACTAAACATGAAGAAGAAGAAAAGCCGCCATTACCAACACTAAATGATGAAAATAAAAAAGTTCGCAAACGAGATCCATCGCCTATGAAACGTTTTACAAGTCGTTTGGCACAATTAACACGTAGTTCAACACATACATCTATTGAAAGCGAACAACAAAAACGAAAATCTCCATCACCACCAATACATAATAAAGATGAAGTTGACCAAATAAATGCGTGTTATGATGAAATTCGTGCGAAATATTTCGATAAAAATAATAATAATAATAATAATCATGTGAAGAAAAATACAATGCTCAATCCATCTATTGCTTTGTCGAATGAACGTTCGAAAGATATTCTGTCAATGACAACAGCATCATCCGTTGAATATTACGACCGGCCGTATTCAGCAAATGGTGATATACATAATCGTTCATTGAGTACAATATCGATGAATGGCTCATTGCTTAGTCATGAATTTTTAAATAATTCTCAATATGTTCCATCGTCATCGCCGCCTAAAACGCCGGATGATCCGTTACTTCAAGCACGTAAACAATCAAATATCAAATTAAATTGTATGCTAAGTGGTTACGGTTTTACAACGCCATTCGGTAATCATGAAAAAGTATTAGGTCAACATGATTTATTTAAATTTCATCACTATCACGATGTTGGAAAAACTAAATTTGATTTTAATTTTACAAGTAATAATAATCGAATGTATTCAAGTTTACGAACAAGACCAATGAGTAGAAGTATTGATAGTTTTAGACGCGCTACGACCACGAGTATGTTTTTTCTTTTTTAATTCTGAATTAACAGAAGGAAATTAACTTATTTTTATGTTTAGTTGAAAATGAAATAATACCAACAGCGTCAAGAGGTAAATTTAGATGAACAAGAAAGTCGAGAGTGCTAAAATTCGCGAGAGAACATTTTCCAGCTGTTCACTCGCTTGAGATTATACGTCACCATTCTCGTTTGCGTCATGACAAGTAATGAAAAGGCGACCTTCACTTGCTGAGCTGAGAATATTTGTTGGTCTATCTGAATCTGCATCAGCGAATGAGATAGATATAGGTTATGATAAGCATATATTTATTCAATATGTAACTATTACGAGACGATTGCGTTTATTGTCATTCAAGCTTGGAAAGTATTTAATCATACTGTTGATCGAACTTAGGCATTCGTGTCAGCAGAAAATGTTTCTAATTCAACTAGCCAAGACCGGAACAGTAAAGCATAACAGATTCTTTTCATTATGGTCGTTAACCGATTCAATGGTAATAGTCTCTAGTGATTTGACCATTGAGAACATTCTACGATAATTAGAGATATATGCACATATGGACGATCGATTTAGCGAGTAGAATACGTTTGAGTGGTAATATTGAAGTGTCTACTTTTCATGATGATGCACACGCGAATAATCGGCTCAGTAGAATTCTTTCAGGCATACATACGTCTTTTGGTTCCAATGAGAGAAAATCTATACGTTGATTACATCAGAATTAGGAAGAAAAACTCGATAACTCTGCCGCGAGAAAATTATTTTATCGTAACAGTATGGAGATAAGAAGAACAGTTTTTTTTTATTCAAACGGATATTGTAATTTATAATAAAAATTGTTTGTCTTTATTTTAGTTGAACCCGATAATAGTCTATTAGATGACGATGAGTTAACGTCGAATATATCCTGTGACAATGAACTTGTCATTCGTGAAGACGGTGATATTATAGAGTCCGAACCAAAAGTATATTCATCCAAAGTTCATGTAACACCAGCGGCTTCTCTTCATGTAAAAACATTTATTTCAACGTCGTCAAGTGCACCTGAAGATGTTTGTAATCTGTCCAATGGTAAACACTATGAAGAATGTGAAGATGAATTTGAAAGAAATTTTTTACGTGCCGTTGATCGAGCGCTTGGAACTGCCAATAAAAACGAAGATCTTTTACTACAACCGGTTTACGATATACCAATGAAAAGCGATGAATCGGATATGGATCTTGCCGATATGACTGAACGTGCACTATCAACATTCAAACATACACATATTCCTATGGTAAAGAAAACAAAAAGAATTTCTATTTTGATGATATCATTATATTACTTATTTTCTAGGATGAAGAACCAAAAAATGGTAAGAAAACTTGAATAGTTCTTGAAATTTGAAGCAATTCCTGATCTTATCCTTTGCTATTCAAATGTCATTAGAGTAGTCTCAGGATTATTTTTAAGTGTAGTTGCCATCAACATCTTCATGACACATCGATAGTGACAAATGCTTAAACAGAACTAAGCCGTTCGAATAGGCAAACTATCACTTCAGTATTTTGAAGTGTACTGGCCACTGCTCATTGAATCGCACTTAATATCAACGTTATGTCTCGTCTTACTTAAGTAGTTATGATTGCACTTCCATAGTATAGTACGAAGAAAAGACAGTAAAGCCAGATTTTTTCTCGTTCGATAATATTCAACACTTGATTAGAATGTTCGGCGAGCTAACTGACAAGTAGAAGCACTCATAATTCGTTGCAAGTACTGTCAAAATGCAAATGTATTTTCAAGCATTTATTATTTGATGCTTGTTTTTTTTTAAAGAGCAGCGAGTTGGATTATATAAGTGTTTTGTGAATATATTGATTTCATGTTTTTTTTTATTCCTCTAAATAGAACAAGTTGATGATGAAGAACGAATTAATGGAGCAGAATCGCCCAATGTTGAATTATTCGATCGTACTGGTGAAATTTTTGATACCGACAATATCCATTGGCAATCGTCTGCAGTTTATGATCATCAGTCAATGATTGTGAATCATGAAGAGGAAAAATATAATGAAGATAATACTATCGACGATAATGTATGGTCGATTGTTGATGATTTAACGCGAAAAACTCATGAATTTTTACTTGAAGAACCACAGGTAAGCCCGATAAACAACTAACATTATTAGAATACTCGTTGTCAAAATCATCGTACGCATTTTATTCATGTAATGGTGATGGACTCTTCTTCTACTTCTTACATATTTCGATCTTTGCACGATGATCAATGTCTATATTCAGTGTCTGTCGTCAGTATTTTGTTCTTCTTTCTTTATCTCTCTCTCTCTCTCTCTCTCTCTTTTGTCAGATTGTTGTGTACCTGTGTGCTGGTGTGTATTTCTTTTCTTTTTTTGTTTCTTGCTTTTTGTGTTTTTTTTTGAACACCTTTCTTTTTCTTAAACTAATTAACACGAAATTGATCATATATAAATAATCGTAAAAGAATTGCTTGTATCACTCTATCCTTTTTCTTTTTGCTTTCTCTCTTGCTCTGGTGTTTCGAGTTAACCGTTTGCTAATAAAAAAACTGATGAGAAATGATGCATGTGCTGCCTTGATAAATAAAAAAGTATCTAAACGCATATTAACAATGGAATTATTTCTAACATTTTTAGCAAGCTATTAAGTCGTAACGGTACACAGATTTTATTCAATTTATTGCACTATGTTGTTTTGGGTCTGGTGGAAAAGGCAGAAAGGGAAAACGTTGAGCAGGCAAACATAAAAGGGGAAAATACAGAAATTGTAAACGTCGAATGAAAAAAGTAGAAAAAGGAAAATGTCGAAAATTGAGTTTTTTGATAAATTTTAAAAAAAATTATTTTCTAAATTGGTGTGCACAGATATATATATTGGTTAAACACTAGTAATGGTTTACCTTTATTAGCCGTTAATGAACGATATTTCACTGTCCATTGTCAACGATTGAAGAGAGAATTATTTGTTAGTTGTTTTCGCCAGACTGATTTATATATACGGTATATGCTAACAATGAACAAGTATAGACTATAGACCAGGAGGACAACGAATTTAACGTATCCCACTAACACCCAATACCAACTAAAAAAAAATTTCGTTATCTATAGAAATGTTTTTCATTCTACGCTTTCCTTTTCAAAATTTTCTACTTTTTCCTCTAGCAGTTTTTCTTCGGCACTTATTAATTATACTTTTTCCTTTCGACGTTTTCACCTTCTGCAATGGCCAGTTTTGGCATTTGCCTTCTCCACTAATTCGGTTGTTTTGAGGGTTAGACAGATCTCTGTTATTTGTCTATACGATATCGGCAGATTTGAGTGTTTCTTTCTGAGTGTAGGACAATCTGAAAAGTTCGCATTTTTCTTCTGAAATAATTATTTATGTGTCAATAGTTTTTATTTGAGCAAGAAAAATAATCCATTTCTTCTGATGAATGATGAAAAATAAAAATAGAAAAATGAATTTGTTTGATACATGACATTGCCTAATAGGCATGTGGCCAAAAGCCTTTCCCAAATGAATAATAGAACGGTTTTTCTTGACAGAAAACAGATAATGTAAAAGTTTGTCGATAACTTTTATTACATAGGGCAATAGGCGCACCTGCCATTGCTGTGTTTCTGTACAGGACATACACGCCCTATTCGTAATATATAAAAAGTAATTAGTGTTTCCATTGTATAGAAATAAACGTCGATTCCTATATCTGTTCTTTTGATTTGCCATTGTTATCAAATAATGATGACGGACACATATATTTCTATAAGACAGTTCTCTATCTACTAAGTTAGTATTGATGATATATTAATATAAAATTGATCATCAGTTTTCAATATGATCGTCAGCACTCATTGAAAAATGAGATATCACACTTCTACTAACGACGAACTGTCAAAATCTAATCGGGCACATCAAGTACATATCGAATGAATACTGTTGTTGTTTCTTTATACAAACGGTAAATGTTCTCATACACATTTATACAAAAAGAAAAATATTGTACAGAATTATAAAACAAAAAATGAATAGGAATTGGTTACATGAACTCTATTATTACTTTTTTTTGACCGTAGGATCATTGATATGAGCAATCGATTTTTAATAGCGTTTAATCGTTCTCACTACAACGTCTTTTAATCAAGAATATTGACACATGATGATTATATTGTTGAATGGTCATTGTGTATTTTAATTCTGACGAAGAAGAATTAAATACAACAGGCTAACAAATAACTTTTGATCTTTATTCAGTATGTATGACTGTAACATCAGTGACACTGCCTCTATGATCTAGTTCATTCTATATTTGCACACGCACGCGCGTGATAGACATACAGTGCCATCGGGGGAAATTGAATCCAATATATTTATTAAATACAGATTCCCTCTGGAATGAATAAATTATTCCTCATATACATATATATATATATATTTGTAGTTTTTCGTTTGCTAGTGCCCTCCATGAATGATTGTGGATGGACAATCGATGATGAGAAGGAAGAAAAATTTCATTCGTTGGCTCTCGTTTTTGTTCTCCTCTTTTGATGGTGTCAAGTTTGTTGTGGTAGTAGTCTTATAAAGAAGTGTCGAATGATGATGATGATGATGACTCATGTTTTCTTTCTTTGACTAGTGTTGTTTTTTTCTCTCTCTCTCTCTTTACGCATTCTTTTTTTCTCTTTTATTAAACACACGCACATATTCATCGAATAGCCCAGCCAGTTCCGAGAGAACAAGTTCACATACTACTGTTAGTTTCGACCGTGTATATACGTCGTCATCTTTCTTTTTCTCGTGTTCATTTCATCATCATCATACTGGTCGCGTCCTCTTTCTTTTCATCAGCTACTTTTGTTCGCTCTTCTTCACTAACAAAAATGGTAAGCATAAATTAGTTTTTCTGTTCAATTAGATTGTGTTGAGAAACTTTTTATCGAGTATATATTAATAGAATTTTGTCCAATGAGAACGTGCTCGATCATTTCATTTGTTAGATCAACTCTATAAAAGTAGCTTCGCTAGTTGTTTTTTTCTTCATAACAAACTTTTAATATGTCGAGTTCAGCAGTTGCAAGGGTTAGCCTGTTACTAAATTTTTATTCGTTTGACTAAGTGTGTTTCCTATTTAGAATGGCCAAGAGTTCTTGGCCGTATTGGATAATGAAGAAAAGACGATTAAATCGAAAGCCGACGGATATAATAAACTACTTCAAACAGATGATAATCATCTCAACGAGGATGGTAAATGTCATTCATTTTTCTTTTCCTTCAGAATTTAAAACGAAAATTTGCATTTCTTTTTAAGTTCGTTGTGACATCAACGCCGTAATTGGTGAAGTGAATTTATTACTTCGAGGTAAACTTAAACAATTCCGTGGTTTATGTCAAGCAAATGTTGTATGTAAAACGAATTTCATAGAATAAAAAATTTCCACGCTTTCTTTAATAGTCAAAATCGACAACATCTGCTGGTGAACCGACGCCACTTGATAGTGATCTTGAAGGTTTTTGGGATATCACATATCCATTAATTGATAAAGTTAAGGTCAAGTTTACAAAACTTGACGATCGTAAAGCAATGCAATGGGCTTCAATTGAAGATGAATATGACCCGAATGATGGTAAATAAGATTCATATCTAATACTCTTGAATAATTATTTTATTTTATTTCCTTCAGTCAATAATCGCCCACGAATAATTGACGAACGCCTTAAACAACTTCAACCTCATCAAAATAAATCGAAACCATCGACAGCAAAAACAGCTAATGATGATCTTAAAAAATTAATTCAAGAACGACGAAAAGCGGCTGCGAATCTATCTAATTCGGCAAATCAAAATCACGATGTAGAAATATTCGTGACACAAAAATAACATATAAAATATTACTTTTTCTTTTCTTTCTTATTCTTATCATTCTTATTCTTATTATTGTGCAATATATTCTTTTTCTATAAACATTATTAACACATTTTTTCTTTTTCTATTCATATATATGTATAATACTCAACTTTCTTCTTTTTTATTATTTTTTTATTTGTGCTGTTTGTAATACAAACAACGAAAATAAAAAGAATAAAAAGTTGTTCTCTTTTTCTGCCCTGTCTATTTAGTGTAAAGAGGAAATGAGAACAAGAAAAAAGAGGACCAGAGAAAAGAGATGTACTCTTGGATAATGACATTTCTCTCCTCTCTCTCTCTCTCTCTCTCTCTCTTTATCTCTCTTTCTCTTGTCAACAACTATAATAAACAAACGAAGACAATATTACACATAGCTAACTCAATGAAAGTACCGGCAAATGTACTTTTGTATTTATCTACTAATTATGGTGACCATTATCAATTGTCTGTGTACAATTGCTCGCACGAGTTCATCAACAAACACCAACAGCCATCGAATTGATCCTATTGTTCGTAGCCTGAAACGAATTGTCGATACTGCCCTTCAAGAAGATGCGCCCGAAGATATTGACAATGACTCTTTAATTGAGCAACTAAGTCAAATACTTGAACAAGAAGAAGGCTTTCGAATAGCTGATCACAAACCAAGATCAATGTATCAGACCGGTGAAGATGAATCAAGCGTTCCTGATGGATCAGGAGATTTTATTGGCGATGAAAAGCTACCTTCATTCTATTCAAATATGAGTATCGTAGCATTTACGATGGTGAGTTGTTTTCATCGTAATTCAATTAATCATTGCTAGTATTTGGGTCTAGACCAGCCATCTGGGCTGTTTTTAAGTAACTGTGTTTTGGACAGTTAATAGATGTTTTGCTAGTGCTCTTTGTTTTCTGCTAACTAATGTTTTTCAGTTTGTAGTATATTACTAAAGAGTTCTCAACGCAAAATACTCGACTATTTTTCTCTTTCATGCGAAAAAAAGAGTCAGGAGGAAATCAGTATGATGTTTATCACTTTCATCATATATCTTTTTTTTCCTAAAATGTCAAAGCTTGCTTATATGCGTCGTTCTCTCTTGGTAAATAAACAAATGTGATAGAAGACTATGTCCATGTATTCGTACAATAAGTCGTCCACGACGATTATATTGAATAATTACTTTGTCGCTATTGTTGCCCTATGCATTTTATTATTAATATACACAAGAACATTTTCTCGTTATATTTATATATATTCGATTAGAGTGAGAAAGAGAAAACTATACGAACATTATCCTATCCTCCATATGTCGGATTATTATTTATTGACTAAATATTGTTCATGTACATTTTACTTATCATAGTTATTATCTCTCAGGTATATCAGAATTTCTGTTTTTCCTCTTAAATAATTATTCAAACCAGAAATGTAAAAAAACGACGAAGCAAAAGAGCAACTTCTTTTCTGTCTAATACTTATTAATCAATGAAAATATTTCACATTAATGACGCAAATTTTCTTATAAATATTGTTGCTTCATATTTTCTCAACATTTAATTATTATCGAGAAAATAGAGAAGAATTTGTTTACATAATATACTGTCGATAGATTCTCCCTATAATCTTTTGTTATTTTCTCATTTATATGGATTGGTGTTGTAATCATACAGCTAAATTATACATCCATAATAATAAATAGCTCAAAGCTGTAATCATCGATAAACTTGACAATTATCGCTATTTCTTTATTTTAGGGACCGACTACAACTGTATTTAGCAAATACACACCTCTTGTAAGTTGCATACAAAAGAAGACTAATGAATATTGTTTTTGTGTTTGTTTTTGTAGACAAGTTCTCCATGTCGGTGCGAAAAGGTAATTGTTTACACAATAAGAAAACAGGAAAAAAAATTCTGTCATACATAATACTTAATTTTCAGGGTGAACGAGGAGATAAGGGTATTCCTGGAATATGTCCGGCAGGTATTTTATCGATGTCTTGTTTTCTTAATAGGCTTTTGTTTTTGAAAAGATTGCGCTGGTGTGGGATATCCTGAGCCGCAAAAGGATTGTATTGGCTCTCATATCAATTTGGCGCATCTTGCTCAATCCATTCGTCAATTAATTATTGATAGCAAAGTAGAAGAAATGACTTTTTTTGGTACTTAAACAAGATGATCCTACAAACGTTCGTTTTTTTAATAGAAAATTGCTTATCGAAATGCGCTTGCACTTCCTTGTGTATGTACGCCAACATCACCCTCATCATTATTATCTTCGACAACAACATCGCCGGCAGTATCGAGCCAATTTACTCTTGACTATAATACCGTACAGCTGAGTTATGAAAAAACAAATTTCAATTTTACTATATTTTTTCTTCCATTTTAGTATGCTCGATTAAAAGGTGAGAAAGGCGATAGAGGAATGAAAGGCGACATTGGTACATCATGTTCATCAACGTGTCTGCAATCAGCACAGGTCAGAATTTCATTCCGCTTGATAGTAAGCAATTGACGGTATGCGTCTTTGTTTTTTGCTTTGTTTTTCTAGACCAATGTACGCGTATTTAAAACGTTGCAACAAGCTATAGATGCTTCAACAACTTATCCTGATCATTCTTATATTCACATTGTCAATGACTATGGACAATTGCAAGGAGTTTATATTCGAGTTCACGGTCAATTGATACCATTACGAATAGAGAGCGAAGTATTGCCTGTGTTTTCTATTCACTGCAAATCTCTTTATTTCATAGAGCTCCCATTATGTACACGAACAGCCACTACCGCCGACGACATTATCTATCCCGAAACCGGTAAGAATCAATTTTGATTATTTTTTAGCAAGTTATACTTTGATTGTTTCTTTTGCAGCAATGCACCACTACCCTCTCATGTAAAAGCGTAAGTTCTAATGAATAGAAATCCATCCTAATCGCGTTTGTTCTACTTGTTTTCCATTCCAAAAAAAAAGAAAAAAACGTTATTTTTCATGAGTCCATAAAAGGTGGACGCATGGATATTAATGAGAAACAGCTGGTCGAGAACTGGCGAATAAGACATTGACATCATATGATGCCATTTTGTTATGGAATTATAAACAATATGATGTAAATATTTATCAAATTGATACTAATATGTAAAAGCTATTAGCTCAAGTTATTCGAGAGTTTATCGAACTTGAGCAACAATTAGTAGAATATGATGCGTGTAGAAAATTACCTGAAAAGAATCATATTGATGTAGTTAACTCCTTAATATGAAATTTATTTCTATCCAGCTTCATATGTTTGCAATTGGCCCAAATGTACGTAAAATGTGTAATACAAAACGAACAAATGCGATGTGCTCAAAATTATCCGATTACGATAATGTATGTGAAAGTGCATCTAAACGTCAAAATTTAAGTGGCGTCTATCGAGCATTTATGTCCACGAGTACAAATTGGTTGTCTAATCTATTTGCTGGTGTTTGTGTCAGTGCAACCGTTGCTAATTTGCATGTAAGATTTTTGTTTTTATCGAAATTATTTTTTCGTTTCTATAAAATTTGAATCTTTTGCTTTTCAAAGGAACAAACTTTATTTGACAACGTCGACGATATCTTTCAACAAAAGCCAGCTCAAAGTGAAATTCTCGATGTACAAGGATTACGACCTCAGTAAGTTCGCCTATAGACATATGACTGCGATCATCAATCAGCCTTTTTCGAGTACACGTCACATATGAGTAATCGTATGCGTACGCGAACCCTTCTGATCTGTCAGCATGATTGATATACGCATCTTACTGCAAAGAGATGATATCATGCGAACAGAAAAACAATTGACGAAATAGTATTTTGGCGCACGATGGAACGGACAGCCTTTTCAAAAATTGCTTTGACCTTCTTACATTTGATGGATGCTTGCGCATGCATTTCCAAATTCACGAGATTTCAATCCTCACAGCAGGAGTCAAACGCTGGATGGACCATTGACACGAGATGATGAAGTGTTTTCATATTATGATGATCCTAGATATTTTTAATGATGTGTCTCCAGAAACATTTCAAACAGATCGGTTCTATCTTATTGATAGACAACTGCCTATCATTATGATGACATACAAATCAATTTTACTCAATACTTCTCTATATTTGTTTATTTATTGTGTCACATGGTTCTTTTTTATTGCATCGGCAAACGAGGGGGAAAAAACGAATCCGCGGGCTCATTTTTGTTGATTGGAACTTTGGCATGAAAATTTCTATTCGCACTCACAGTACAACATTGAAATGTTTAGGTCATCAATTTGATGTTATAGTCTATAACTACTGTGTAGAATAAATTGCTATGACAATTGGTTCGAGTCTAATAAATTTTTTTTATTTGCTTTAGATTTCAATACTGGTGGCACGGCACAAATATTAATGGGACAGCTTCAAGCGATACCTGTAAGAATATGATAGTGGATTATTATAATTATTATTCTTTTTCTAGGTCACGATTGGAGCCGTCATGATTCAAGTTTATCCGGTATTGCAAGTCGCATACCAGACAGTAGACATGGATTATTTCATCAGCAACTTAAATGGCCATGCTCAATAGGAGACTCAAATATGGGAATCTTATGTATTGAAACAAACTGTCGAAAAGCTAATTAGTAATAACATTAAAAACGAACCGAATTCGGACGATAAATATTAAATAAACGAAAATGTACTTGTGCATTTCGAACTAATCGTCTTTGAGGATAAAATATAGGTGCTCGCGGCTGAATAAATGGAACGAACGTTCGTTGAGTCGGATGAAATCCATAATCAAGACAATGAGACGTTCGAATTCGAGTTTGAAATGGAGGTTTCGCCCGACAATCCGATCGTGTACGCTGAACACGTAGTTGTTCTTGATCGGGCTTTTTAAAAGTAATATTTTCTGTAATTGTTGTTGGTTGATTTCGTCGATTCTTTCTACCGCGACGTGGACGAGACGGGGTTTGCTGAGGCCGATATTGATCGTTTGAGTGAGCAAAATGTGGCAATGTCGATGACTGATAATAGGGATCTCGCGGTTGATGAAAAACTGATGGAGTCGATGGAGGAAGATTTTCATTCGTCGGTAGAACATATGAATATGGCTGATTATGTAATGGCTGTTGATACTGATTGAATTTCTAAAAATCAAAAGAGATATAAAAGAAAGTTTTGAGATAAGCATCAAATACCCAATGATAATTAAAATCGTTTGTCATTCGAAAAATATTTTCATTATTGAAAAATTGTTGTTGAAATCTTGGTGGTACTTCATAATGTTGTTGTTGCTGTTGCTGTGGATGATGATGATGATGATGATAATTTGATGGGTTTTTATTCTGTTTTTTGTTCTTTTTATTCATTTCATTATTTTGATTTTGTTGATAGTGTTTCATTTTATTTTTCTGGCGTCGGCTTAAACAAATCGTTGAACTTGATGATACATGTGTAGGCCGTTGATGTTGTTCATGACCAACGAATTTCGATGCATCCACTAATGGATATGTAACTTCAGTTGGCTTATGTTTTGATTCAATATTTTCGTTATAAACTTTTTGTTCATAAATTTTCGGCTCTTCGTCCGGCTCTTCAATGACAACAAGACTAAAACAAGGTACGATCGATGGATAGGATGAAAAAAAAATTAATATTATCAAACTCCTCCTACCCTGATTTTTTGCGATGTAAATGTTGATTTTCTCCAAGAGTTTCATTACTACTGTGACCACCGCCAGCACGATTATTAAATGTTTTTTCGAAATTATGTTTTAGATTTTTAACGAATTTTTTCAATTCATGTTGATTACTAAATTCTTGTTCAACAAATACACGTTGTTGATCACCATTTCTTCCTGTGTGAACTTTAGTCAATCGAATCTACGGATGAACAAAAAATAAAAAGAATAATTTTAGCTAGACAATGAGTAATTCGGTCTTCTTTTTACAGTTATACGATTATTACTAGTAATGATAGGCTCCGACATGTAATAATATGTTGATTTATCTTGAAAATGGTATGCTTGTGCACGCGGATAATGTTGTTGACTTTTTACACCGTTGAATGCATAACTACCTGGTGTCATCGACGGAAAACCACGAGGTGACGGCGAAGGAAAACCATGAAGTGGTGACGAAGGAAAATATTCGTATGTTCGACTGAAATTTACATGATGACTGCTTTGATTTGGCATAGGACCAGAACGATAGAAGGATGGTGATTGTGTTGGAATGTAGAAATGATTTTGGCCATGATGATTGTGATAGGATGTTGCCTGTTGCGGCGAAGGATAGAATGGTTGGTGAAACATATTTTGTCTTTCTGAGGAAGTTTCTGTTTTTAGTTTGTCATGTCTTCTTCTTCTACCTTACTTTCGTACGAAGAAATTTAAGTACACGTCACTGAACAAAATGAACACCTATATTAATCATTTTGACGCGTACTTGTTATATATTCGGTCAATGGTTGTGCGATGATAGAGCAACCGTATATAGTCATGTCAACGATATGTGCATATGCATCTTATTCAATTTTTCTTTCACCCATTTTTACCGGTTTGGACTAGATGAAATCAATGTCGATTTGTTTTCTCTGTATAAAAATGTGTCATGCACGATTGCGTACAATATTGAATGAACAAATGTGTTGAGAAAAAGAAGAGACGAACTCGTCTCTATCATTATTATTTCTTATCATCATGTTAGTAGTTTGATGAATGCAATAGAGAGAGAGAGAGAGAGAGAGAGAGAGAAAACCGAAATGTTATTTCGATACGGTGTAAAAAGACGCGCAAACGAGGAAAAAAGAATTTGTGAAAAGAAAAACGCGAGCAAAACTAAATAGTTCATGTTAATCAGTCCATTTTGTATTTTGCTTGTATATCCTATTGAAATAGAAGACAAGAAGAAGAAAAACACCGAATTAGCAATTTTATAAAAACAAACTACCTTGATGATTCGAATGAGTAGCGCTCGATTATCATTCGAGAGATTCAAATCAATAGGCACTACGTCATCTGGACCTTTTATCAGTGCAGGTACTGAACAAATGAAATTTCCATGTATCTGTTCTTCATCATTGGTTTCTGCTAAACCAAGAGCCGCAGTTGAACAAGACATCACGCACGAATAGGAATGATCATCATTGGAACCATTGACCCAATCTAAGAAAATATTATGCGTTTTCTTTTTAGTAATTATTTTTGTCGATACTTGGCAACTATACCTTGAACGAATGATAGAATAGCCGATGTTTGAGTATGAACAAGTGCTCGATTGTGTTCAACATGAGAATAAAGTTCAAAATCTAAGAAAATATGTTGATAAAGAGTTCATTCGGGTTTTTTTCCCCAATTAATTTACCTCGATTTTCAAGTTCTTTTCGAAGAACTTCTTTGATCCATTTCGGATCAGCTAACATTTCTGTCGAATTTCGTAAGAATGATTGTGCCCAAATAGCACCATCATAATTAAGCGATTGACAATGATTTGTATCAATAATATATTCGCCATTTATATCTCCAATTATATGCAGATTAATTACATCTAAATTACAGAAAAAACAGAAACTCAATTAGGACTTCTTACAAGTCATATGCACAGAAAAATATCTCTGCCCACGACATGGGATCCGGCTAAAAAATCAACTTCATAGAACTAAACGCGAAATTTCTCGGATGATTCACCTATGGTACTTTGCACAAAGCTCATTTTAAAAATTGATCAACCGTGTTCTTTCGATTCATAGGCTCGCATAAATCAGTAAATGATGGGGAACATCGCTTATTTTGTGACCTTTGAGTAAAGATCTCGATGTAGTTTTCTCCGAGACATTCTCAAGGTTACTTTCGAGGATGGCCTTTCTCTCATTCTGTAAAACACTTACTAAAATCCATTCCTCAGACAGAACATGAAAGGAATCTTGTTAGATCTTTCAGTTCTGCATGAATTACACTAATACCTATTTACTCCAGGGATCTTTATGGATCATCTCGTGCTATTGAGATAAATGTCAATTCTGATTCTTATCGTTACCAGATCCACGAAAATGAAAACTTTACTTCTAATATCAACATTGAGTTTTTTTCCTATTCTTGCTTTTGCTTGATTTTCCACTGTTCTCGCAAGACCAATAATGTTATTTGTTGGTATTGATTTCATTGTTTTTATAAACGCTTGAGTGGCAATCATAGTTGAATTCGAGCAAGCAATAAGAATGTGACATGTTGATTTAATATTCGATTGAGTTTGACTGGCAAGTGTTTTATAATATTGATAGGCACTTTTCATATCATGTTTCATTCTTTCTGGTTCAAACGGAGGTCGTTCATCATCGAATAGATTTGCTTCATCGTAGGTTTTATTTAATCGTGTTTTTTCGGCAACTAATGAATCAAAATATTTTTGTTGTTCTTCAAAAAAATAATCATCAACAACGATAATCAAATCCGTATTTTCAAAAGTTATATCATTATTTTGTAGTACTGTTTCAACACTATGAAATTGTTTACATGCAAGATCTTCAATTTCCATAGCCATCGCTTCTAAACTGGATAGTTTCGATGGGTCATTTGTTGTTAATCGAAGAAATATATCACGATTAGGAAATAATTTGGATGAAAATAATTCCGGAAATAATTCATAGGCACATGGATGATGCGCGCCAACAATACATACATGATATGGATTTAATGTTTCTTCAATGAATTTTTTCTTTAACTGAATATCCTGAGTATAGTGTTGAATGTTTTCCTCGGCAATTAAACGAAAAAGTGCTGACGAATTCGTCATAAAATGATCGAGAATCGTTCCGTAATAGCATTGAGCATATTCTTGAAAATCATCGAGACCACCGACCAGTGTGCCACGACCACCACGTTCCATTAATTCACGCCATATTAGTGGAGATGATCGTTTACTCGATTTCCACTGATTTTTTCCATACGTTGATTCGACCCAATCGTCCCAATCCTAAATATAGAAAGTGTTTCATTTCTTCTAGAATTTCTCTAATAAACCATCATTCTTATTCTGGATATACACGGAGAGTCTCTAGAGTAGATTACATATAAAAAGAAAAAAATGATTGTTAGTATATCCGAAAGTACCAATGATTATTCTGCTCTCGAGGAGGCATCTCATATTCAGAAACAATTGGAACAGTTGACTACTGTAAAATATGTTGAGAAGAAAACAATTGTTTTGATTGCGATTTGCGCATCTGTATGCTTCGTAACTAAGAAACCGAACTGCCATGAATCATTCAGTTCTATTGAAAAGAATGGGTTTATGGCAGTCTAATCTATAGGAGACCAGTTGAAGAGATGATGGCATTCTACAATTTCCGATATGGAATTTGGCGATGCCGAAAAGGTAGTAGCTGATTCTAAATCGGATAGAGTACTATCGAAATCTATTGTAAATTCCTTTTTGAACAAACATTTTCATTCTAAACTTCTTAATTGTTCAAGAGTAATTCCATGAAATATATAATGAAAATCGTTCATTGCTATCGAGTAATAAACTAATATTTATCAAAAGTATAGGATATCAAATTCATAGAGCTTACCTAACTGTATCATACCGTACTAAATAAAGTCACAACTAATACTCATTACTATCAATTTAATATATCAATGAGCATCAATATATTTTCTATTTTATTTTTTTGTGTAACTAAGTTCTTGTACGAATGGTTTCCTTACTTGCTCTGCAATAGGCCATTTATAAATGCTGAAATTGGGTAAATTACGTTGAAGATAATCTCCTAATAGTTCAGCTTTGGCATAATGTGGACAATTAGCTTTTCCTAAATAAGAGAGATATATATTTATTCGAGAAAATTTCCAATATCAATTGATGAGCGTTACCAGCGATCACAAATTTTGCCATTGCACTGTGATTAAACTGAGTAACTGCCTCCGTTGTTACCTACTAGCATTTTTATATGTTTACATTTACCAATAGGATTTCTTCTTAATTATTCATAAGGATTTTTTTAAAGAAAATTTTGAACAGACTCTTTTTTTCAATTTAGAACATTTTTTATAATAAACTTGCATTTCATTGGTTGAAATTTTCACAAATAAAAATACTACAGTTAATCTCTGTTGTTATTTCTTTGTAAAAACCACTATCTTACTTTTTCTTTATAATCCAAATCAGTATTCTTTTGCTCGTATTCAATACATGGCTCCACCAAAGTACGCCGATCTTAATAAACAAGTATCAGATATATTTAATAAAGGCTTTTGTAAGTTAGTTTCATTGATGATCATTACGTACTGTAATTTTCATTCTTCATTTATTAGTTTTCAATGTATTCAAACTCGACGTTAAAACACGTTCGGCTAATGGAGTTAATTTCAATGTAGTCGGTGAACACAATACCGAAACAGCAAGAACCTTTGGTAGTCTCGAAAGCAAATATGTTGTTCCAAAATATGGCTTAACATTTTTGGAAAAATGGAATACAGATAATGTGCTTAAATGTGAAATAACAGCCGACGATCAATTAGCTCAAGGTTTCAAAATTACTTTCGATGCTACTCTGGTGCCGCATACAGGGTAACATTGAGTTTTTCTTCATCGAAAGAAAATTTTGTTTGTTTTTGACTTTCTTTTAAGAAAAAAAGCTGCTGAACTTCGTACAACTTATGTTCATGATAAGGCTCAAGTCGAAGCAAATATTGGTTCTGACGCTACGGGTCCAACACTTAATGGAGCTATTGTATTAGGACACCAAGGCTGGTTAGCTGGATATCAATATGTTTATAGCACCGGTAAAGCAAGTTTAACAAAGAGTAATTTCGGTCTTGGATACAAAGCAAAAGATTTTACATTGTTCGCTAACTTGTGAGTATTCATAGGAATGACCATTCAGCTGTATTTTCCTTTTTTCGGTAAGAATTTCTAGTGTTGCGTAACTTTGGAACTCATTTCGAATAGTATAAACATTACCTCATAAATCAAGCAAATAAAAATTGTTCAATGTGTACATTTAGCTATTCCGATGCAGACTCCATCAAATTTCAATTGCTATTTGCGGTCAAGGATTCATGTTGATATGCTTCGTAGCCCATAGCAAAACTATTGATGAATTCCTATGAAGATAGCATCTCAGTTTGATTGAATCGAAAAAAATGTACTCGATATAGGTAAACGTTGGTGATTTTTATCGATTCAATTAAATAAAAATTCTATTTTCTAGTCCCATCAATATTTAGTAGAAGTGCGAACGTCCTGAAGACTTAAAAAAATGTTCTATTAAGTGACTGAATTTTTTCTTATGATTGCGTAGCGTTACATAGCTTTTATACATTTAACTATTATCTCTAATGGGTGTCTTCACTAGACAAAGAAAGATGTCACATATGCAGCGTTCTATATATGACAAAATCGACATATGTTGAAACAAGACAGACTATAATTGACACCCTTGGGTATAATTATCCGATAGATAAAAATCTAACATCGGTCGTACAACTGTTTATTATTCTAATGTTCATTTTCCTAAAAAAAACGAATTATAAATATTTACATTTGTTTTACCTATTTATCTTTCACATAGGGCCTTTTCTCCTCGTAGATAAACACGTTTTTTATTTGATCAGTTGTCTAACTGTTCGAAAGAACAAGCCATTGATAACTGTTACTAAAAGTCTAAGGACTCTTTTATTGAATAGAAATGATGGAAATGAAGTTGGCGGTAGCGTCTATCATCGTGTAAACGATAAACTTGAAACTGGTGTTCAATTAGCATGGACAACAGGTACCAATCAGACACGATTTGCGGTTGCATCAAAATATCAACTTGATTCTCAAACTGCAATTGGTGCTAAAGTCAACAATATTTGCCAAGTCGGTCTTTCGTTTCAACAACTTCTTCGTCCAGGTAGAGAGAAAAAAAAATCTTTCTCTTCATCGTTTTTCTAATATGATGTTTTTGTTCTAGGATTTAAATTAACATTATCGACTTTATTTGAAGCTCGAAACTTAAATGCTGGTGGACACAAAGTTGGTTTGGGACTTGAACTCGAAAGTTAAATATAACGATCATCGCGAAAATTTATTACTGCAAGACTTATTATTTTCTTGATTCCTTTAGTGAAGTTAATTTGTAGGAGATCATCAACGGTTGTTTGTTTTTTTGTAAGAATTTTTTCTGCGCATTCAGCGCGATAATCATTATCCAAATTCTCTGATCGTTTTTTATTGCGGATTCCATTTTTTTCAATACCCTGACACAGACAGAAAAAACCAACAACAACAACAACAATAAAATGAAATTAATAAATCAGGTAAATAGAGTACTAGGCTAAGCTATGAGTTATTCAGCAGGCACATCGTTGGAAAGAATGGGTTGAAATAAATTGTCAAGTGATATTTTTCATCGTGGATAAGTTTTTGATTCGGGAAATAAACGAATATTTGTTGTGGAGGTTTTTAATTATCGTTAACTAATTTATGATAAACAGTATAGAACGATCATGTGAACAGTAACCACAATGGTTAACCTATGAAAAACCTTTGAGACGGTACTTATTTATTTAGAACAATGACGAACTGAAAATTCATTCGTTTGGCAAAAACTTCTCATTATACTCTTCGAAAAAGTCAGTTTTTCTTGAACTAAGTGTGTGCTAGAAGGACAAACGGTTGATTTATTATGCGAAAGAGCATTTACATCTGGATGTTCCTAATAAAAAAACTGCAGTATATGTCAAGGTCTACCGTCAAAGGTCATCAATATTTTGTATTTTATGACACGTGAAACAAAAAACCTAAATTTTTTCTTTCTAAAATCAAAGGCTACTCTACGATATTCATTTTAAAAATTCAATTAAGTGTGGAGAATTTCTTCAAAGAAAATTTATTGAAAGATTTTCAAATTACGTTTCTGATATCAAATTCCAGCAAATCTGATTTTTCTATGCAAATGAAACACGAGAAAGTGCATCTATCGATTTTATTATAGAAGAAGATTTCGATCTATCCATATAGATTTTCCAATCAAAACGAATTCAGAGACTTCTACATCTCCATAGTCAAGACGTTTGTACTATAAAGAAAACAGAATACGCCCATTAAATAAGAAGTTAACAATATCTAAATAAATGAGGCAAGTTCTTTTTCAATTTAGGAATGTGACTTTAGTAAGACGAATCGAATAAGAGCAACACTTTAAGTTGCGTCGCACATTCATAAACAATACATCAGAACGAATTGTAAAATGCTTGAAAGCTATAGAAGGTCGTGTCGTGTGATGTTTTTCTTTTAATTTGTAAAATAATCAGAGGAAAAGAAATGCATTAAATTTCAAACTCGAATACGCTTCTAAAATAACGAATTTACTTTGTTACATCTCATATAAAATTTCGATTTTTCTACGCTAGACGTATAGAGAATTCGATTTCGTTTATAAGCTGTCCATTTTTAGCTTGTTACTATTCTGAGATTCAAATAATATCCCTCGCTTGCCTTAATTCTATACTATGCTTACCAAAATAAAGTTCTCCACCTGAAGAAAAACAAATCACTCGTGCCAACTAAGAGAACATCAAATTCTCTATTAGATTGGTGCATGCATCTTGTTCGCAAATCTTTCTGTTAGATAATACGAAAGCAGTAGAGCATTATTTTTTCCAAGTAAAAGCAAATTTCTAATAATTAGCAAAACATGCAAGTAGAGAAAACTCTCACTTTTGAAACCCTTTGTGGTTAGTCTCTTGCACTCTATACATCACCACTTTTACACCAGGTATGTACCTTTCAATGGGGGGAAAAACTTTTGTTGTTAACGACAATTACACTAGGAATCCCTTAAATTGAATAATTAAGTGATTTCTTTTTTTTTTGTGTTACAAAGGTTTTCTTGTCACTATGTAGTTTTTCAACAGTAAACATAGCAGTCCATCAAACGTCACCGATCAACAGCAAGGCATTCTTCTTTTTCTTACTACATCTTTTGAAAGAAAACATCATTTTTTGAAACATTTGTTTTTCTATAATTGTTACAATCTAGTTGATTTTTTTAACAGCCGAACGACTTCGTATTATCGACAATTTTTGTTTCTTTAACAGTAACTATCTACCGTCACTTGTTAGTCATCATTGAGAGCAATCAAGTACTAGAGCATTGAATCAACACACAAAAAAGAGAAATGCGCTATTAATAATCGAAACTGATTTTTAACTTTGCACTTTTATTTCTTTAAAAACAAAAGCAAGTGACGATGGCAGTAGCAATCGATCTTTTCGGCAATGATACCGTTAATTATTCATCGTCGAAATGGGACAAATGGGAGCAAGAAACAGATAAACCTTATTGTAAAATTTATCAATTAAAATTAACAGAAGTATTGACCTACAATCGATATCGCCGAGAACAACAAGCTTACATAAATCGTGAAAGATTCAACACAAAACAATCAATAAATTATCGTTTAAATGAACAACGATTACATAAAGAATATATGAATCATGTGCGAGAGCGAACAAAAGCTCATGCTCAAGATATCATAGCAAATTATAAAAAGAAGTCTAACACTTATTCCATAAAGGCAAAACAACCAGTTGCATTGAGTGTTACATCGAATAATATTTCGCTGGTTTTAGAATCTCGACCGAAATGTACTTCAAGAACAAAACTACCTCCATTGTAAGTAATTAACAGAAAAATCTTTCTTTTTTCTTTGTATCAAACTTTTGTTGTTGCCTATAGACCGATCAGAAGTGAACGCATAAAAAGTCCTTCAGTAGATTCTGAGAAAAGCATGAAGAAATTTTCATTAACTCCTATTATGAAAAATGACGAAGATGATGATATTTTATCAACAGCGAACAATTATTCATTTACGGAAGCGACATCGTCCTCATCACGAAGACACCATGGTAAACAACATTACAATGCTCGACAAACCATATTGGACGCAATAATGGTACACATGAATTCGTATAAATCATTCGACAATTCTAAAAAACCTAATTATGAAGATATTAAATATAAATTTTCATCAAGTATTTCACCGCATGTTTACGAAAGTTTTGAACGTCTTGTTGCTTAAGTGAACAATATTGTGAATATTGAAATCGTTTTTTTCTTCTTGTAATTTTAATCAATAGAATATAATGTTATTTAGAAGATTTAAGTATTTATTGCTCATTGACTTTGAAATATGTGACATATGATGAGAGTAAATTGAATCAATCCTTTTGTCAATTCATGTAAATTAGGTCCACATAGACGAAAACCAACACGAGCTATTTGATCAATAACTAATCGTTCTCTAATCAACTGATGTTGTGCTAGACACACTGCTTTTTTAAATAAAATGACAGCATTATTACTGTCAAGTATAATTTTTATACCGATACTATTTATTGAAATCATTGGTGACGATGCATTTGATTGTACGGGCTATGACGATGACTCTTTTCATCCTATCTATGATATTAATGACTGTCGACATTATTGGCATTGTATATATGTTGGAACGAGCTACATGAGAGCTGTCAAACGTATTTGTCCAGCTGGAACTGAATTTGATTTTCAATTAAAAGAATGTGAAATATCAAGTCTAGTGAGTATTGATAAGTTTTCTATATTAGATCTATACAAATATCTAGGTGGACTGTGTAAAAGTGAAATCAAACGTTACACCAAGAACAAGTATAAGCACAAAACAATCTGTGAATTTTTTAACACGGAAACCCTCGATCACAACAAATAAATCTACTCGTAAAACTGTCATACTACAGCAATTAAAAGTATTATCTACCACTGCCTCTCTGGTAGCACCTATTTTTTCATTTGAACAAGTTTGTTACTTCAATAAACTAAGATCTTCACATAGACTTATTTCTTTTTCAGCTTATCAAAAGTTTAAATGCTATAGCAGTATCTTCGAAACATCAAACAGTAATGTATACTACTCATGCTAAAATTTATAATACAATCAATCAAAGTAAATACTCTCAATCAATGTTAGTCCCAACAACAACGATGACGCGAACAAAAACAAAAAGAAATTTTTTAACATCAAATATGAATCAAAAACATATTCATCATCGTCGTGAAAATATAACAATAAATGTTCTCACCAGTAACGAACATAAAATTCGTCGATTTTCAATAAATCAAACGCATGGTTTATTTATTCATTGTAATGAAGTTCGCCGTCGTCATTTACGCGATTTAATTTTTCGAACAACAACAACAGCAACATATTCTTCAAAAATTCTAAATTCTTCATCAAAAACTTTTCATCGTGGCATATCGTCTTTAAAAATATTTATAATGTCTTTCTTATTTTTACAAAAAATAAGTGATTGAAAAAAAGAAAAAAAAAGAATAATGTGTTCATGCATTTTGTCTTTATTTTATACTTGTAGAATGTGGACAGTAGAAACTAAACCAAACAAAAAAAGAAAAGAAAATAATTAAGCAAATGATATGAAATACCAAACAAAACATAAATAAAGCTACGGGTGAATATATACAAAACAAACGTGAGAGGTGTGCTCGAACCTATCATATTATGCTCGAACTTGAATGCCCCTGCGGATGATTAGGGCACTTAGCTATTTCTGACCTGTTGAATTTTTTAATTTGGAAAATAAAAGGTGAAATTTTTCTTAGGAATATTTTTTCGCTTACCCTTTTAAATCCCATACATGCCGTTTAATAAGAAGTTTTTCACATATTTCACACGGAAAATTATGTTGAGTACGTGTACGACCTAATTTTCGTGTTCCAGATCCAGTACGAACAGGTGGCGGAGCCGGTGCCTGTTTAGATGCTGGCTTTTGTCTTGTTTGTACGTTATAACCAATCATTGGCTGATTGAGAACATCGTGTAAAAGTTTCATAGTTGATGCTCGTTCTGAGTAGAAGAAGAAGAAGAAAAAAAATAAAGTTAATCATAGATTTTGAAGAAGAAAGTTGCATGTTTCGAGGTCTAACCTTTATCTGTTGCATTTCTTACCCAAACACCAAAATCATTTTGTGATGAACGTGCTAATTGACGCAACTGATTGTTCATTGCCGTCGATTGCTGTTGATTTTGACTGGCAACCTTCGTTTATAAGGATAAAAATGAATACATATGCGAGCATTTTTCTTAATGAGTATTGACTTACCAAACAATCGTTTCTATGCTCCGGCAATGCTGTTGGAATGCGATAAACAGTCGTTTGTGGTCTTCTTTCAGCATCTTTTTTGAAATTTCTTAAGTATTCTTCTTGTGCAATGCTAGCCGTTTCAAGTGCTTCGTAATACTCGTTTGGCAAACCATCGCAATCAACCATTTGTATAATAACCGACGATGATTCATAATCTGGTGCGTTCGGTGCTTTTTCGTCGTCAACAATCCATGCATCATTCTTCGGCGTTTGTACTGGTAATTTTTCATTTTCATATTGTTTTGGCGTTACTGGCTTTGGATTTTCATGAGTATTGGCGAGACACGTTTTTGGACGTGGCGGATAACTATCTAATGATGGATTATATCGATGTTTATCAAGACGTTGACGTGCAAGACGCAGATCTTCTGGCGTTTCACTTGTATGAAAAGTAAGAAAATTATGTTGATCGTCATTATTATTGGTTTGTTGTTTTCGTTCAATTTGTGTCGACGCAGATGATGGCCGAGTTGCTGTCGGAGGTGTAGGCGGCTTCTGTTGAACGGATGCATTCGATGCTGATAAAGGTCGTGTAAGAAGAGTTGAAGGTAATCTCAATTGTCCTAAACGTTGTTTTACATCAATTATATATTGAGGTGTTTTAGGATTTGGGTAAGTAAGCCAATGTCGGCTATTGTCATTGTTGGGGTCAACAGGTGGTTTTTCTTTTTCTTCTCTTGTTGGCGGACGAGGTTCAGGTGCTGTTAATGGACGAATTTTTTCTAAGGAAATAAAATTTCATGTATGCGGAGATTGTTTTTTTTTCGAAAGTAAAAATAAAAACCTTCAATTATTGGAAGCGAAGATGTTGAACGCAATGAGGCTCTTGATTGGCAATTAACGTCCTCGAAGAAGAAGAAAAAAGGTCACAGTTATTTATACAAAAAAAGAACTTGTATTACTTCACTAGCTGTTGCTGGTCGTTGTTTGTATTCGACAGTTAAAACTGGTGTTTTCGTTGGCGACGATCGATGTGAAACAGGTTGTTCTTGGTTATCTTTGAATTTTGTTACTACAATAGCAGAATTATTTGTTTGCTCTTCGCTCGATACTGCGGGTAAACTTTTATTCAGCTGTTTTTGCAGTTGCTGTTGCTGTTTTTGTATTTGTCTTTGATATTGTTGACCATAGTTTGAGATTTTTCTTCCTTTACTCGCTGTTCGATATTTTCTCCATTTATAATGGTCAGTATAAGTTGAATTCGATGGTTTCCATCCAAGAGGATCATGCAATAACGGTTGAAAGATTACAGACGACATAGTTTTACAATTTTATGTAAGAAAAATGAAAAAGATGTTGAAACTATTTTATTGTAAAGAATAGATCGGAGAATAAGAAGAAGAAGAAAAAAAGTATATAAAACATTATGTACACATGTTGGTTACCAATGATGGTGGTTGTTATGGGTTAGTTTGATGACAAAGCCACTCTCACCACCATTACATTCTTTTCTATTTCTATACGCGTTCTTCACACCTAATTGAAGATGAATTTTAATAACAACAACAGCCATAGCCTTAAAGACAAACAAAAAATGGTTCGTATGAGAACACGTTTTCTTTTTTAAATTGACACTTTATTTATTGGTATAGCATAATGTCAACGTCCTCTTGTCGTCGTCGTCATCATCATGCCCATATTTTATAATGAAATTTAGAATAAACAATAGCAACAAGAAAAAAGATCGAAACTTTTTTATTCCATTTTAAATAGACGTTGTATGGCGTCTATGTCGATCTATTTTTCTCCTTAACTGCATTACGAGCAACAGATGTTAATCATTTTCTGCACGTCGAATCTTATACTATGTTAGAAATATGCTACTTAAAAAGATCGACAGTGTTTTCTGCGGATATAGAACCTGGAGAGTTTTAATTATAGCGTACAGAAAGTACGAACGGAGCTATTTGAAAAACATGATAGTGGACCTTGAGTTCGGCTATTCGTAGACGAAGATGGTGACGCCTTGATTTATTTTTCTTTCAACCAATTTGCACTCATCACATGAAGTGTTTATAGTTAAGTTTCAATTATAAAATGTATATTCGAACTGTTGTCAATAGAAGATCTACAAACGAATCCAAGGTTGAACTCTTTAGATTTTGCTATTTTGGAAGCTCAGTAGATGTTCGAGTCGAAATAGAAAGTTGCATTTTCTAGTGATTCATTCTTTTTTTCAAACATCATTTCTATTCATCGTAACAAATAGTTCTTATTGAAACTCTATTGGTATACTATCAATTGAAATATCGAGCACTACGTTTACTATATAGAATATTGAAGTACATTCGCCACTTTCAAATAGATATACCTCATAAAAAAAAATTTCGTTTTTTGGGTTTGTCTGACGTGAGTGTGGCGAACTTCTTATAAAAATAAACCGCCAAAAACAGTGAGAAGGACACTAAATACTGCATAGCAAAATTTAAAGAAACTGCCTTTCTGTATAATCTGATAAAGAAAGAAATTTTGTATCTTTTTACCCTATTTGATCATCCTTAAACTAATATCCTAATAGTAAATTTCGATAAGACCTGTTTTGTTTTTATTGTATGTCATCGTTATACTAATGCGAATGTATATTTTTTGAATAATTGTTGATAACAACAAGACAGAGCGCGGCAGTTTTTACCGCTGGAAAGCGTAGATAAAGATGCATCTGATTTTAGATTATAAATATTTTTCTAGACGTATCTGAAATTTCTTCAATGAATTTTCTAAGTATGAAAAGGAATGGTTTTTTATTTCTTGATAGAAATCGTCAGAACAGTCACTTAAACCCTCCACTGGAACATCTATAACCCCTGAATGATTAATTCCACATATCCGAACCTTCTGCTGTTTCAATAGAAACCTGATGAGTAGGTTTATTTCCAAAGAAGTTAATTTGAAAGAAACGGTGAAAACCACAGCTGCCTGTCTTATTTGTATCAAAAGTTATTCAAAAAATATACATTCGAATTAGTAGAACCGTCGCATACAATAAAAAGAAAACAGACCGTATCGAGATTTTATTATTATGATATTAGTTTAAGTAAGATGAAATAGCATAGAAAGGCACAACTCTTTTTTCTCTCTATCAGATTATATAGAAAGAAAGTTTCTTTAAATTTTGCTATACAGTATTTAGTGTCCGCCTTACTACTTTTGGTGTTACACTAAAATAAGAAAAAATTTCTAGGTCAACTTCTCCCCTTCGTACCATTGAATATTTATGTATGATTATTCATCCGTTAGCTTTTTTTCTTTGGTTTCATATTTGCTCTCGCCGTTGTGATGAGTTCACAATAATATTTACCATTCTTATTATGCCAACGGATAGATGATACAATTTGATATGGTATAAGATTGACTTTCATGTTTGATAAGAGAACCTCGAAGTAACACCATACATTCGCCTTTATGTGCCATTCAATATCAGTAACAAGAAAAACAAAAGAGGAGTAAATCCGGCGATTTATTCATGGAGGGGCATATGATTCATAGCTGCCATTTAATTTTTAAAGATAAACTAACGACGAAAAGGTTTTATGGCTAATTTTGAAGAAATAATGTAAAAATAAGTTCCAACTAGAATTATTAGAAGCGAATGCTTTTCTTTACTAAATTTCACGTATAATTATTTTGGAACAAGCTGGAAACTTATGGGTCCGATCATCGAACAGAAATCACTAAGTCTCCTGTACACACCAACTGAACTACAATATAATTGGATTTCAAGGCTGTTGAGTGTTTCGGACGATCGTTGAGTGCACCAGAGCGTCCGAAATTGATTGAACATGAATTAAATTTCTGTCTATGACTGAAAGACTTTCATCATCTTTTAGCAGTATTTTTAATGTCGATAGATGGCTACAAAATACATAATATCCCCTACTGGGAAATTTTCTATTCGTTCCGGATTAATGAACAAAAAATATTAGTCTATCATCGCACCTCCATTAAGTTGACTCGATTCATTTTCAGATAGCTACACCCTATCGGTTATATTCTTTTCAAAACAGTTGAATAAACAAACAAAACAAAAAGCGCATAATAACATATGTCATGATTGACATCCATTGCGATGCCATTCGTGAACATCTGAATAAAAACTGTGATCTCGAGATTCTTGCATATTTAGTCGCATACATAATTCACACATACGAATCGGTTCCAGAACATTAATATCATAGAATACTTCATATTGATTTAGCCATTGAAAATATTTTCTATAGATCACGTAATCATTGGAAATTTGATGTAAATGATTTGCAAGTTCGCGAGGCGATTGATAATCATCAACATGAATAAATGCTGATTCGGGTACACCTAAATCTAAATAAGATTGTTTCGAAGGTCCTAAAACTATCGGAATCATTCCGTAGTAAAGTGCGCGCCAAAATTTTTCTGTTATATAGTCTTTACATGTTTGAGATTCGAATGCTAAATAGAAGAGTCCTAAATGAGATTGACTATGTTCACAGTCGTGATTTTTATCACATCGTTTGTCGACACATAATCCAAATGCACTGATTGGATAATGAGCTTTTAACTCTTTATAATAGTTCAGACGATGTTGAGGTTCACAATTCGAAACAAACCAAAGTGCATGTCTATAACGAAAGCGATAATTTACAAAAATACGATTTTCCAATGTGACATCGTCTATGAGAACGTTATTTTTTGTTAATATTCGAATTAATTCAGAATTATGAGGTAGAGCATTATCTGATGAAATTTTGTTTTGATCTTTTTCTATTAAAATTCCATAGGTACCAAGAGAAACTTCGGAATCTTGTCGAAAACTTAATGTCCAATTAAATTGATATTGATTTAAATGTGAAATTTGACGATTGGCTTCATCGATCCATAATATCCATATGTCGTCTGAAGAACGATTTCCAAGTTTATCAATCATTTCATCATGTTCTATATCAACATGATGAAATATATTTGCACGACGTAAACCGTTCTGATTAGTCGAAGATTTGTCACAGGTCCATCGACAATTGGAATATGGACATTGTGGATGAAATATATGTGCTGCTGTACAAAATTTGGGACGTCCAAATACCTGAAATATTCAAAAATGAAACAGGCAAGCCTACATAAGTATATATCGACAAATTTAGATCTTTACAGAATTGTGTCTGGTGTTTTTTTTAAAAGGATCAATGCCTAATTTCTTACTATCGCGAGTTTTTAAGGTAGAAAAGATTTATAGGATTGACGAATAGGAATAAGGCATTTTGTCAATCGCAAGTTAGTTTTTTTTTGTGTTGGATTTTTCAGATCATCTTTACTAAATCAGGTACTTCTACAGAATTTATAAATACAATCATTTTTCTAGACAATTCAAATCGTTTTATGTTCTGGACGATGTACATTCCATGAGGAACTATCCTAACGGGCTTTGTTTTGTTTATTTGATATGCATTTTCAACCGGGAATTACTCGATCGTCTGCGAGTAGCATTAGTCTCAAATGAGTTGAGAAACGTACGGCTTATGTAGAATAATGATCTGAGATAAGAACACATTAAACCTATCAATTTCATCTGAAGAATTTGCATCTTTATTGGCAGCGAATAAATCTTAGATAATTTCAATATCAGTCATTAATTATGCAGTAATTGGATTCGACGTTTAGAGAAAAATGATGTTTCTTATGACGATCGGGCTCTATCTGCTCTCGCTATAAACAGAAACGAGACGAAGATCAATCATAGGAGTGACGAGTGTTTTGCCTGATATTAACAATAAACGAAGTCCACACGAGCTCATTAAAAACAGAAAATAATTCGTTCCTGTTTTGTCTTATCAGCACTGAGTTTTTCTCATCCTAATACAATGAACCTGCCATACAATTATATGATTAATAAAGAAAGGCTGCAAAGGGATTTTTCTTACTGGATATTTTCATGTTCGACCTTATTAAACTCATGCGAGTGTAAATCTTATTTTTGAACCCCGTAAGTTAATAGATATGGTAAACTCAGCTTTGGTCGAAAGTAAAAATGTCGAAAGAAATTTATAAAAATAAAATTAAAAAATCTAAAAGAAGGAGTGTTTTGAAAGATATTCGATGAATATGTTATTATTGTAGGTGTAGGATCGATGGCGACTTATGTTCGCTTAAATCTATCATTGGTCCATCAGACATTGGTCACTTAGTACAATGTAATAGAAAAGAATAAGAAAATTATTCTTCAATTATTCATTATTCGCGTGATAAATATACATATGGAATCGACACACAACATCAACAGTGATTTTAAATTTCATTACTTCGACTAAGGGACAACCTCTTTTAATAATGAATCAATTCTGAACACGACATTTTTCATGAATACCTACTCAGTTTTCGACATTTTTACTGTCGACCAAAGCTCAGAAATTCAGTAGATATATCTCAATAGTTTATATCATTGGATAGGGGAATCGTTACTGAATGATTTCATTTGAAAATCTGTTTTTACTGCAACTTACGAGAGTTTCTTCGAATATATCATATTTTTCTTGTGTAGTTACTTTCGCGTATTTTTCAATTCGCTTTTTATAAATAGTTAGAGCATCTCGTTCATTAATTTTTAATAATTTTCTTGCGTAATTATCCAAAAATATTTTCGTCCAATTTAATTCTCTTTTTATCGTTAGTCTATCGCTTGATTCCATTGCTTTAATACGTTCTTCCTCTGTTAAATATTTATCGTCATTGTATAATTTTCTCCAAAATAATTCTTCGTCTGCTAAAGTAATAGCAGATAAATTTTCACTAGAATTATCATTTCTAAATGATGCCATAAATTGAAAAAAGAATGTTACAATAAATGAAATAACACAACTTCGAACAACAATAAAACGTATGCGTGACGAACGACAAGCCATTATGTTGTTATATCAAAAATACCAAGTAAATGGGTTCTGTTAACGTGTTGTTGTCATCGTCGTTGGACTCCTAAATATCACATTTAATTTGTCTACTATCAATCCAAATAGCAAAAGAAGAGAGATAGAAAAAAAAAGCAATATTTTCAATCAACCAAAGGAGTATCCTTCAAAATAACCGTGTGAATATCGTCCTTACTACCTACTCGTTTTAAATGCATTTTGTCATATTGTATATGCACGACCTTTCTCCATTGAAGTTCGCCAAATTGTTTCTTATCGCTTGCTCTTCTACGCACGAATGATCATCACATGAAGTAGGATCAACTGTTTCTTTTTCTTTCATGCATTCATTGTATCAAAGCTGATGTATGTTTTGCAGCTAAATGTCGAATTTGCAACAAAAAGTCTTCCTTTTTCTTTTGTTATTACGAGATAATATAGAGTTAAGAATAGATAAATGTGCTACGAAAGCTAAACTAAATATTAATAGCCAATAATGATGGTAATTAGTAGACTCAACTAGATAGATAATAGTGTCGCTTATTTTGTATTCTCATGACTTTTTCTCATGTAGACAGTAGACCCGTAATAGCATGCAAGAGAAGGCCAACGAACTATCAATCCTCTCGAACAATCATGTTTTTTTTCTCTATTCTTCTTTGTTTATTGAGTTGGCTTATCCTTTTGGGAATATGGGTGATGGTAGAAGGACATAAATGCGCATGAAGTATGTTCTATGGCGAACCGTTGTATCTCTCTCATTTGGTTGAGAAAGACCATCGCAGAACAAAAGGATCGAAAGAGAATGTAACAAGCCTAATGAACAGAACTGAAATACAATTACTTTCAATTGTCGTACAAAATCAATGTGAATGATAATAGACAAATAGTTCTCTTCTTCTCTAAGCAAAATGTCTCACAGCCATGTATCTAAATCTCATGCTGATTCTTGTTCAATTTGGTAACTTCATTAATATAACTATTTACAAATCTAACGTATTCTCATTCATCACTTTTCTTTTTCTATTTGACTGATGATACATAATTCATATTCATACTATAAGTTTAATCGACTCTGTTCATTTTAGTAACCAAAAAAACCATGAACTGACGTATTCTAAGTAATTCAATGACCGTAGAAATTATTGACAAAGTCAGTTATTCAAATATAATCTGGCATGTTCTCCTACAATAGAATATTGAATGGAAGAAAAAAAATTCTTCTATAACATGAAATGAATCTTACATAGGGGTGGCACTTTAACTTTAAATTGACCGTAAAGTGCAGAGTTTAAAGTTGTTTAAAGTTACGGTTAAATGCTTCTTTTCGGCGTTTTATCTGTTGCAGAGAGTCTCACAAGCTTGACTAAATACGTCAATACAGTAAAAAGTATTAAAAAGAAGCGTCTAAAGGCGACTTTAAATTTTACGGTTAAAGTAAAGTTGCAGTGCCACCCCTAATCTTACATGAAAATATTATTCATTGACAATCAGACAGATATTGATGATTGTTCGGTCAACTTTTTTAACTCAAATGATTTTTGTGCATTGTTAGACAAATAGAGTGTTTTAGTTGGGAGAAAAAAATCTACTGTAAGTGCAAGATTTGCTCCGAGCTAAACCTTATATTTTACAAAAATTGATTTGATTATAAATCTGATTTAATAAAAATTAAATAATTTTTCTTTCAGTAATCAAGTTAACGATGATCATATCTTACCTTTATTATGACGAAGACAAATCTTTTTTTTTCATGTATCAGATAGTAGAATTAGAATGGCAAATAAAAATATGTTTTCTCTCTTCCTTCTCATCTTGCTAATATAATTTTGAGTTACAATATGACGTATTGACAACGATACAATCTAAAGATTGATTGATTATTATGAATATAAGAATAAAAAATTCTGTTTTATAATATGTATATTAATCAATTTATGATTACGAATAAATGAGCTTCGTAGTTCATGTGAAAGAAAAGTCTCTCAATTGATTAATCACTTATGAACAGGGACTATGTTGTGCATCATGCGAGTCCTTGTGAGTTATGTAAATTCTGACGAGAGCTTAGCTCTCGAGTCGTTAAGCGCAGAGACACTGCAGTTTTCTGGTAGAAATACGATGCTGTCTCAGGTAGAGACCTGCGGGAACGACTTTTTTTGATTCCCGTTTCCCGTTCCCATTCCCGCGAAAAAAAATATTTGTTCCCGTTCTCTTATTATTGTTCCCAGAAAATTAAAAAATTCCGTTCCCGTATTCCATTCCCGTAAGTTTTTCACAGTTTCTATTACGATATCATTTTTCATATTTTAATTTTTTTATTGGCTGGTAGAGGGATGTCGATTTACGGTTCATTTAATTGAAATTGAAATTCGTGAAAATTAAAATTAAAATTTTTGAACTTGAAAATTATTTTATTTAAATTTGAAATTTAATAAATTGTTTGGATTAATATTTATCATCGCTATGAGGAAAATACGTAACTTTAGCAGTAGTGAACATTAAATGAGAGGAAAACCTAGTACTTTAGGTTAATATTGGTTCGTAGCAGTCAAAATTTCTCTACAGATTATGCAGGATCCGACATCTTTCTTCTTCAAAATATCGGGATACTCATCAAAACATATTTATTAGCACAATTCCTAGAAGAATGACTAGTTTTAATTTTAGAAAACAAAAAAACATTAAAATTTGACCTGAAATAATAACAATCACATCAACCGTATGGATGAGAGAAATTTCGTATTGGCCATTTCTCTAACAATTGATACTATTCACGTTTACTATTAAAAGCTTTCATATGTACCGATGATCGCGCAATTAAGAACAAAAGCAAATAGCTCCACATCCTAAACAGGGACGGAAAAAACCTCGAAATGAGAAGATGATGGTGTTGCAGTATTACAACATAGTCTTGATGATCGTACTTTCAATGATGATTATGATAACAAAGAAAATGATCAATGATGTGGCGAACGACAAATTAATTTATGAAATTTTTTAATAGATATTTGTTATTTTTCTTGTTGTTAATTATATGAAATAAGAAACTGTTACATCAACACATTTTAGTAAAACAAAGTAGCAAGAACAGATTTTCGGGGACGGCAAATTTTTTTTTATATAATTCCCGTTCCTGTTCCCTAAAAATTTACAGAATTCCCCTTCCCGTTCTCTTTCCCGAAATCTCCACGGGGATTCCCATTCTCGATTCCTGCGGGGAAACGGGACGGCAAAAAATCGTTTCCCGCAGGACCCTAGTCTCAGGTGCACTGGAAAAATTGATTATGGGTTTGAAACGATCCATAAAAACTACAACTATATTAACAGTGCATTTTAAATAATCTCAAATATCAGAATTGTTCTTTTCGTAATTTTTCTGCTTGTCCTTCATGTCGAATCATAAATAGTTCGATAGAATATTATAAACTTTCTTCAGAATTTTACATACAAAATGTTCACTTTTGTTTTCGATTACATCAACTTTGCGTCAGCCTACAGGCAATGACCTGAAACCTGTTAATTACTTGAAAAAAGATATCTTCATAAAAATGTCCCATTAGCTCGTCTATTAAATCTCTACAATCAACAATTCATTTTCCGTGTGTAAAATTTATCTAAGATATTCTTTTGACAAATGAATTTTGCTCAACTGGAAACACTTTTCTTGTCTTCATGACGAACGAAAGAGAAAAAAATTAGCATCATCAGTAGTATAATCAAGACAATTGTTCCAATCTTCTTTTTATCTTGTGTACACGCTGTGGCTGGTGCCCCTCCACATGCGCTACTGCTGTGTGACACAATTATCTTGTCACTTATATATCTGTTATAGCTCAATTACTTCGTTCGAGAAAGTTGCCATTCTATTTATACGGATACTTGTGAATTGCATATGCAATGTCTGTGAAAGTATTTCATCTTGTCTGATAAGAATATGTAAATATTCCAAACGTTCATAGCATTAGAATTTTATTATACAAATATTTTCTTCTTATCGTGAGCTCCTTATGATTGTAATCTCTTTGAAGAGTAGAATGGTGCGGACAAAATATGTTCTTTTAACGCGATGACGCAACGGCCATATTTTATTTCGCTGCGATAGAAATATGTTTCATGATTAATTTCGAAAATTCACATTGTAAACGAATGGCAATTCATAGCTGAAAATTGATTTATTTAAAATTTTCACCATTGACTATATAAGAGGCTTAAATGTAAGACAACGCGCGCTCTATTATTACGATTTATAAATGAGTTATTTATGGTAACAGGTGTGACGGAATTTTCAGTTTACAAAATTTTGATACTAACGAAGGTAGAACACAAGCAGTCAATAAATGGCTTATGTTTGCCAGTCACTAATCGCTTGTTTCTTCGATCTTAATCCTATTGTGAATCTTGTTTTACATATTAATCTCAAGGCAGTAATCGAAGAGGACATTATTCGTCATATCTGTAGATTACATGATGACAATAGATCATTAAATTGTGATATCCTGCATTGACATAGAAATTTAATCGTTATGCATTCTGATGTGTATAATACTGTCGTTAACAAAATGGATCGGATAGATTGCATTATGATTTTTTTTCTATCCCACTGTGCTTGAAAAAATTGAACTTTTCACGATAATAAGAAAAGTCTAAGTGATTTTTATCGACCTGAATATTGATGTAGTTGAGTCAAAAAAAAAACAGCAAGAACGCATTTCTCATAGTTTGAAGTCAAGATATCTAACAATTGACGAATAAAACTGTTACGGTAGCGTATCCAAGTGTCACTTATGGCATGGCAGCATTCACTTAAAATTTTTTCAACACCCGCGGGAACTCCAAGATTGAAATAGCTATGCTATCTTCTAACTTTATGTATAAGATCAACAAGCGATTTATAATTAATTCAATTCATTTTTGTTTTTCAATTTGAAAGCAAAATGTTTATTTTACGTCTAACATCATAAAACAGCATTTCCCATTGTTTTCACCTAACGCACCATTGTCGTAGTAAATCATGTTCTTGTTTTAATCAATTGTCTTCGTTGTTCTACTTAATAATTAGTTGAGCAAACACGATCAAAGAGATAATGAACACCGCATCATATTGAACCTATGCTCCGCCTGATTATTGTTCGGTTCAAGCAGATGTAAGGTAGAAAAAAAAGTGATTATTTTTCTCTTCATATCGTTTTATCAAAGACAAAGACTCAAATCATACCGCTGTTTTATACAGACGATGTCAAGTTCACTTTACTACAAAGAACAAAGAAAAAGAACGCTGGCGGTTCTGATAAGTTAAACCTCTCGTAAATTAATTCAGACAAATATGAAAGACACAAAGGTGTATTTTCTTCTTTTTATACTTGACAAAAATTTCAAGAATGTACTTTTTCCTATGTGACCTTCAAATATTTGTCTTTTTGTTCATCCCAAATGTCATGCTGTTCAAATTAATGAGCATGACAAAAATAAAGCCGAGATATACAGAAATTCTTTGTTTCGCATTGTACATTTACTTGCCTTCATCTAATCGAATTATGAATTCATCACTATTATTATTATCAACGGGACATGTCAATGAAACTATACACTTGTTACTGTTCATGTGGAACGTGAATTTTAATAGGGATGAGCACACGCGACTAGTCTTGTTAAAATCTTCTCATGGTATGAATCGAAGGGGGGGGGGCACTATTGGTACCATTATGTAAAGTGACTGGGCATAAAAAAGAAGAATCAAATACCAACGGGATGTTGATGTGTCATAAACTTGATCCAAGTGATTATTTTTCGCTTTATTCATATGCGATTTATGCATGTCTATGTCATTGATCAGGTGATAGAACGAATAAAATATAGGAAAAAAATCTAACCAATAGGCTCATTCTCTTTTTCGTTTTCTTTTTTTCTTCTTCTTCTCTTCGTTCTCACCTCTATTCAAACGAATCTTTCACTATAAATACATATATATATATAAGCGTACATACGCCTACGATCATCAACATCCATTATACACCGTTGTCGTTTCTTTTTTTTTACCGTTTTAATTACATATTCGTCTAAAGTAAATGACTCGAACTTCTGCATCCAAAATGGAATCAAATAAGAAAACCAAATCAAATTTAGCAAAGATGGAATTAAAAAAATTAAAATCTATTCTACCAACATTAAAGCAAAAACCAACAACAACGCCGATTGAAATCGTCTTAGAAACTATTCGTTATATTCGTCAACTAGAAGATCAATTAATCGATCGATTTCAGATGGAATCAGGTAATACAGAAACGAATCTTCTATTTCTCTCTAAACAAACGTTTATTTTTGTAGTCCCATGTACTTCTCGGACATCATTATCCGAAATGTCAACGGATTCATCATTACTACAAGATATTTCTAATACAGACTGATCAATTTACACGTTCATTCGAAATTCGATCGTTGTCATTGACTAAAGTCTATTTATTCAGTACACATTTTATGTATATAAATTTTTTTTTGTTTTTCAATAATACTTCTATGACATAATCTTACAGGTGTAATGAAGTGGAAGAGAGAGCGAAAAAGAGGAGGTGGAACGAAATGACAATCAATCTTACAGGACAAATACATCGATTAGATAATAATCGACACACACACCTGGTCTTCGATATATTCACTTATTAAAAAGAAGCTTGTTTCCTATGCGCTTGAGGCAGTTCATCCATGAACCGAACCTATTTTAATGTTATTGTTTCGTTAATTTAAAATTTGTCGACGTATTTGTTTATGCTAAATAGATACAATTGTATTTAAATGATGTTGACATAGGCAAGGAAGAGCATAGCCATATCATATAAATACAATGTTGACCAAAGGTGAATCAATAAATATAAAAGTTCAACAAGCAGACGAACGTATGTTTGATGTGTTAAGAATTTTTCTTTCCGTCTTCTACATGCTAATTTGATTACGAACGTATGCCGAGAAATGAAGAAAACAATAGACGTTTGAAGAATCCGACTGTTACACAAGGGGAAAACTGATGATTGTCACCTTTATGTACATATGATTGAGATCTTGTCTTAGATGGTTGATCAATCACACACACAATATGTTGACACATTCTTTGATCGATCTCGCATGAGAAAGATATATATATATATATATATACACATTCAATGAATTTTTATATGATAATGTTTATAACACTTTACTACAAAGAAAATTTTCATAAATTTTTCGTTTTTTTCCCATAGCATTTATCCATATTGACTGAATGAAAGATGAGATTCTGTTGTCTACTTGAAATCAATGGAGAATAGTTCATCGGTGAATTTAGTTTTATCAAAATATTTGTATAGACATAGTCGAATATTATGAAAACGTTACTCATAGAACGAATCATTATAAATGTTTGGATAAACACAAATAGAAAATTTATTCAATATCTAATTAAAACGTCTAGTTTTTAGTTGTTTCTTTTCTAATATATATATTCATTCTATCACATAGCGTTGTGATAGAATGAATCATGTACTCGTATTTTTATTAATTAGACGATGTTATATGATATAATTCATATCGATCTTACACGTCAGTAGAGATACCACGTTGAAATTAAGTATATACACGTATATGTGAACGCTATAAGCTATAGCTACTTAAACATTCGATAGGTTTTATTGATTCTTGTACGCAAAAGAAATATGCCCTCACAAATGTGAAGTATATTGTGTAACGTACTCATCTATGAATACGGGATAAATATTAGCATTGCAAATTCAACTATTAAAGCTTCAGAAACGATCTGAGGTTAAAGTAGTTATTCTTGATTTCCTGTACATTTTCTGATGTGATTTTGTCATCACGTCAATAGAGGGCGCAGATGTATCAATTCATTTGATTGAGTCCTATGCATAAGATCATCAAAGTGAAACATTTTTAATGTGCACACCTGTCGAACAGTTTTATTTGATAATCAGTAGAATTAACATAGGAGTTTTCACTCACTGATCTACTACTACCGAAATGTCATATAGCAAAGATCAGTATCTCAGCAACTATGTGTATAGAGAATGAGCTTATTTTTTCGTATTCATTGAATCCATAGGAAATCACCAATTGTTATTTTTTTGGTTGGAGCAAGTTAATATTCATCTACTCGTTTCGTGAAAACGTCTTCTTGCACGTGATCGATAAAGTTCAAGTGCTGTTCAACGAAAAATTCAATAATCGTATTTGACATTGTCGATTACGTGGAGCAATTGAATTGTTTGTTTTGAAGCTTACGAGTTAGTAGACTAGTATATTTTTAGCATCGTTATTTAAAATAAACTTTACAGTGAAATATTTCCTTTCATCACAAGGAAAAACAATATGATCATATGCGTTCGTCACGATAGAACTTCAATAGTTTATACAGAGTTTAGATCTGACATAATCATTATCGAAAACATACCGCATATGCCAAGAAAATCATTATTGATTAATTTAATAAGCGCAAAAAAATTAAATCTTAGCTTTACGAAGATTGTTTGCTTCTCGTTGGCATCCTTATAACGATGACGTTATCAACTTAAGTTGCAAGTCCAAAGAGCTTTCTACCCAAAAGACTCAGATCAGTCTCTGGATCAATGTTAATGGCTTGAAGCTTCGCTATAATTGCTTTTCTTCGTTTTTCTGCTCTCTCTGGTGTCATAGCTGGATGATCAACGGGAAACATCTTGCAAAATTGAGCGTATCGAGGGCGCGCACTGCAATTCGCTCGTGATCCATGCATTGTACGTTGATCCCATAGAATAGCTGAACCGGCACGACTGGAAATATGGCGAGCAGCATCATATAACTCTGGAATGTACTCTCTGCCAATCATTATAAACTGACCGTCGTGCCCATAAATATTAAGCATCTCTCTATGATCAGCAGCCCATTGTGGTAAATATTTGTGAAAACCAGGAACTAACCAGAATCCACCATCTTCTTCCAGATTATCGGCAAGATTGACAAGACCTTGTACATGCAGTTCACCGACTTTGGCACACCCGGGCTCATTATTCTCGGTGATCCAGTCATCATCAGAATCATAGTTTAGCTCACCGAGAACTTCCAGTTGTTTCGAATTGTCTTCTTCTAAAGTGCATAAACAAAGCAAACAACAAACTATTGAGTATCCGAAAAGACATGAGAACAAACCGTCAATATAAAGCCATGGATTCATATCTAAATGTAAATTGGTCATCGTGGAACGTTCAGGATGTTTTTTAGCAGGTCGAAACATTCCGTAACGATCTTGATTCACCAGAAGATTTTCTGTTCCAAGTACACTTGCAAAAGCAGTATGAAGAGCTGGTGTCTGCCGATTGAGTAAGATTTGACGAGTCCACAGACTAGCGTCACCAATGATACCTTCGGATACAATACCTGTTCTAATCCAAAGTCTAAAATAATTACGGCCGATTGAAGTTATGCGTAAACCAAAACAAAAATTAGAACATACTGTTGATTCCAAAGTTCTTCTTTGTTTCTCACAGACGTTTCCACAAACGATTCGATTACATTCCAAATATCTGAGATAGTATCGTTACATTGTTCTGGTGTGTAGACATTTGCAATCACCACGAAACCGTATTCTTGAAAGAAAGCTCGTGCTTTACTGGCTTCCGGACAATTGTAGCTTGACAACGTGAAAGATTTGACGAACCCATCAGAATCTTTTGGTATAACAAGTGGTTGAAATTGACTAGATGTAGACATTTTATGACAGTAGATAAAGTTTAGTAAGAGATGAAAATAAAAGAAAAACTTGAAGACCGATAGGAGACGACTATTGAAATACTAAGCAGAAAGACATGCGCTTAATGGTAGATATATTGTGTTGTACAACTGAAAACGCCCTTTGACTCACTATGCATTGTGAAATTACAAAAAAAAAGAGGAAAATAATAAATTGATGTCAGTGGTTATTAAAAAGATGGAGACAAAGTCTTGATGATTCATTTCGTGTGATGAAATTACAGCGTGTAACAGAATAAGATTGCAGAATGTAAACAATGAAGGTAAATGTGTGTATTTTGAGTACATTTATCATGTTTGCTAAGAAAAAAAATGGTTTTATTCAAGGCGTCACCTACTTCATTGTGAGGTAGAACCGACTTCTTTCAAGTTATTTTGATCATTCAATATTTCTATATCTCTTAAACTATAAAATGTAATTGCGATCAAGGCAAAAGCTTTAAAACAAAACACAATTTGAACTTATTTATGAATATCAGCATTTTTGTGTGACTGATTTTAAACCACAATCATATGTTCACAATTTTCCTGGCTATTCGAAATACTCATATTGCTCGTTCAATACCAATATCATTACTGTCAATGACTACATGAATTATACCACACAGTTTATTCCTTTTCGACCTTCTCATCGTTATTTTAGGCCAATAGTATGATCTTCAAGATCATGTGAATACGAGTTTTCTATTCACATATAATCCCGCTGAAATTGAGAATTTATATTTAGTAAATCTAACGAAATTGTACTTAAAAATTTCGAAAAATCTTGGTTTTCATTATTACTATATGATCAGAAAATCAATATTAATTTCTTTATTAAATAACAAAAAATCCTCCAAACTATAACAATAACGAACATCTTTTTCATGTTTGTATCTTCAACTTAAACTTGAAGTCCAAACAGTTTTCCACCCAGTGGAGTTAGGTCAGTCGCTGGATCAATGTTAACGGCTTGAAGCTTCGCTATAATTACTTTTCTTCGTTTTTCTGCTCTCTCTGGTGTCATAGCTGGATGATCAACGGGAAACATCTTGCAAAATTGAGCGTATCGAGGGCGCGCACTGCAATTCGCTCGTGATCCATGCATTGT